TAAGGAACATATCCGATATCATCTGTGAAACGGTTATTCCATAACGGTCAACCAACTCGTGATGGCGTCCGTAAAATTTACGAAGGGATGATTTCAACTTCACCATTTGGAACTCATGGTTTAATAGCTTCCTTGTGAGCAGCAATCCTCTATTAAGGAAATCATGATAGGAAAAACAAGCCCGGGAATATCGTATCAATTGGGAGATATATACTCCGTATGCAGGCGCTGCTGGAATGTTGCTACATAGAAATGGAAAGTTCACAATTGGGAAGCTGAAATCATCTCTTTTGTCGTAAAGTTTTGTTTTCAACCGACCCTCATTGTCAATTTCTAGATGTAAGTCAAGATATGAGGCAGACTTAACTGTATCTGTAGTATCCTTTATCTCTAGTTCGATGGGATAGATTCGTTCAACATAGTCACCAAATTTTGTATTATTTAGGGAGAGAACATCATCTATATAGCGGAACGTAAAGTTAAAGGATATTGCTAACTTCTTATCTTTCTTCCTAAGAAGTTCCTGTATGAAGTCAGCCTCATAATAATAAAGAAACAAGTCGGCAAGAAGAGGGGCACAATTGGTTCCCATTGGAATTGCGACAGTCTGTTGAAAAACACGTCCTCCAAACGTAACAAATATGTTGTCAATCAAGAAATCAAGCATCTTGATAATGTCAGTTTCAGAGAATTTTTTGTCTACCAAGTAAGATTTATCCCTCCCCAAGACAAGATACTTGTATCTACGTTCGCCATTCTTTTTAATGAAACAAAGTAATACCAACTCTTTCAATTTGTCTTTTAGTTTGGAATGGGGAATACTTGTGTAAAGTGTAGAGAAGTCAAATGTTTTAATACTATTGCAAGATGAGAGAGTCTTAGATTGTATGTACTCTTAAAGATCTTTGGAATTTTTCTAGTATCCACATCTGATTCACGCCACCTCTAGAATAGGCAGTTTCACAATAACTTTGGAGCCCGGCTTTGATTGCTGATAAAATAGATTTTAATAATTTAGAAAGAGGTTTCGTGGAGCACTTGGAAGACCCAGCAATATACCGTTGTTTGTAAGGACACTTATGTAGTTTAGGTATCCAATACAGTGATGGAAGATCCAGTTCTTCATCTTTGGTTGAAATTCCAAAATAACATATGTACAACCCACCACCAAGGACAAATCCCCAACCCAACACCACGGGAGTGCTAGCACACCGGGATGTCTGTTATTATGGTGGAGGAAGCCGAAGTACTCGGAGAGAACCACCGGGCAACTCGGCGGGAACAGACAAACCGAATTGATATCTGAAGATGGATCTCCTGGTCAAAGTCGGGGCCACTTCGATCAACCGAGGCCCCCAAAGTACCCATTCTAGTTTAAACTCCGGTATGGGTACCAGAGATGTGTGTGGGAGGGTGAAAATCACCCTTCTAATGTACTGAAATTTCCAGCGCCCCGAGTCAGGATCGAACCCGGGACCTTCAGCACTGTAGCCATCGGTCTTAACCACTATACAAATAAGATGTGGTATGATTGCCAATGAGACAACTCTCCACAAGAGACCAAAATGACACAGAAATTAACAACTACAGGTCATTAGACCACCAACCATACCATTGTTTTAAAATAAAGATAAAAAAATCACCAAGTGTAAAATTAGAACGATGTTTATTTCGTTGATTGTGGTTAATGCGTTTGCCTTGAGACCTATGATTGCGTTGTCTTTTATCAACAATAGTCATGATATCAATAGAGGAAGTTTTAGATATGTTCACTTGGCCCATGATATTGTCATTTAGATCTAGGGGATACGCTGTCTGTAGTCGTTTAATCCAAGAGAGTTCGCAAAGTTTACGTGAATCTTTAAACTGTTTATGTGATTTTCCTGGTTGTTTCTGGACGGTTTGAAGTGGTTGGAATTTTATAAATTTAATATTGTGTTTGTCTTTTTCTAAATGTTGGTAAATTAAACTTTTGAATTTCTTATTAATTAGGTCTGCGGAAGCGGTATAGATGTTCTTGTGCTCGTTTGAAAAATTCACGTCCAGTTTGCCCTACATATTGAATACTACATTTCGGTTTTGTTCATGTTACAAGATATATGAGGCTTTGGGTTTTCAAGTAATGTCATGTGAAAAAGAAAGAGAAAAGGTTCTTCCGTTCATTGATGAACGAACAGTATTAGTTGAAGATAATCTGGAGCAGGTTTGTCATTTTCTGGCATTGCGCGGGAATATATACATAGCAAATACAAATTACACCATTGACTTATCATAAGTCGTTCCCTTTAAACACAAAATTTTACATGTAAACTATGCAACACAATCAAAGTCAATAGACCATGACTGAAGGGGCGAGACCAAATAATCTCCATGGAAATGAGATGTGCTAATGCTTAAATACAACTGCATACCAAATATCATTGACCTACCACTTATGGTTCCCCTAAAACTGATATAATCACAAACTAATACATGTGAACTAAGCAAAGTTTCGAAGTCAGTAGACCGTCACTGAGGAGGAAGGGCCATATAATCTCCATGGAAATGAGATGTATGAATGCTAATTCAACTGCATACCAACTATCACTGACATACCACTAGTGGTCCCTCATAAACTGACCTGATCACAAACTAATACATTGTTGACGCCGCCGCCGTCGACAAAGCCCGCCTAAGTCTCTCTTTTTCGACTTCGACGACGTGAGACGAAAATCTAAACGCAATGTTAGAGGTGAAAGGCTTTAAAAAAAGGCTCTTGATCTACTTCGATCCTAATCGTTTAAAATTGACAGTGTTATTCACTATTAAGCATACTAGGTTTGGCATTAATGAAAACCTGAAATCACCTCTTTCAGTTTATTCTAAATAGATTTGGTTCAATTGTCTTAACTAAGACTATTAAAAAAATCAACGGAGTTTCCTGTTTTGTGCTATTCTGTAGTAAGCTATTTCGGTCCGTGTTTCAATGTGTGTACATGTACCCTTTTAATAGTAGACCATAGACTAGTAGTTTTAACTATTTTAACATGCTTTCCATCACGGTACATTCTTCGTAATTAATAATGTGTTATTTATGAAAACTTTTTTTAAATTTCATTTCGAGTCATTCATACTGGGCATATCAATATGACAGGTTCTACAATACAATGTCCTCAAATGCTGTGTTGTGTAATTTATTTTTTGTCAAAGAAAATATTTAATCAATCATATATTTTAGTCATTTCCCAATTATTTCACAAGATCCTCTCAAAATCTGCCAAAGTCTGCTTGACTAAAATTGCGTGGTGTATAGAAATAATTTAATTACCATGCTGGATTACAATACACTTGTAGATGGTGAGACAAATGCTAGGTTGTAATGACCCTTGATGACGTAAATGCTTGAGGCAAGAATACAAAATTGCATGCTTAAAATTCTTTCACCAAAAATTAAGAAAACAAAGACAGACACACATTTCAAACAAAAGAGATGGGCGTTTTTAATTTATGGGCCTTTAAGTTGGTTAAGTCAATTGCAATGAAATCATGGTGAAACAATACAATCATTGGTGCTAAAATGCAATTTCTTCCAACTACAAACGATGGCAGAAAAAATTCACCTCTTAGTTTTTCTAATAATTTTGATATTTTTGGACATCTTTTTCTTCTGTTGATATTTACAGTTGTTTTTCTTTCATTTTAGTCTTACATAACAAAAATCTGATTTGGTGCCGTCAGTCTTATGTTTTAGATGGGTTCATCTGTTAAATTTCAAAAAGAAGACATCTGTTTCTCATTATTGTACAAACAGGATCGGTTTTTAATTCATAAAATATTATAACTATTGTGGGCCTTATAATGAAATGGTGCTGCTGCTGACCAGTCATTAAAAGTAGTTTTGAAATGATTCTGAAGGATGATTCAGACTTCTATTTATTATGTAACCAGATTTACAGTCTATTAAAGTAATGACATTTTGAAGATTAGAAATGTGTGCACTTCCTTATATAGATTTAAACACTAGCTAAGGGATAGGAAATCCATATAAATTGATATCCTCATGAAGTAATATCAAAGACCTGTACATAATTACAGCTGATTGAAGACACTTTTCCTGTTTGATCTCTCTTTTTAGTGAAAACAAATATATTTATTCAAGAAGTTCCTGATCTATAAATACCAAATACCTAATAGCTCATTTTGCATACGTAAGGACCCTATTTTTTGAAAGCCTCACTTGACCTGGGAAACAATCAACTGAATTTAGACTCCCATAGTTTTACCTTACAGGTTTCTTTAATTTCAGATAACTGCTGAAGGACGTGTCTTTGAATTAAACTGTGACACAGATGATGCAATAAGAGTGAGAATTAGTACACAACTATCGTTTTATCTGGTGTGTAAAACTAGCTTCCAATAGCTTAAAAAGATGATGTTGGTACAAAATATGAAATAAAATAAGATTTTCAGTTGCAATATGTATTAATACTGGTAAACATTATAGTTGTTTTTCACTGCATGTCTCATTGATATCTACTCCACTCATTCCTAAGCCAAATAAATTCTGTTAGTCATATTTTTCAAAAGATATCAATTTCATAGTTTTCTTTAAAGCACAGCTACCAAGTTAACAAAAGAAAGATTGACTGATTGATTGTTGGTGGTTAAAGCCCCTTTCACCGCTCTTAGCTATATATATCAGGGCGGCCAGTTTTTGTATTGCGGGGTGGAAGTTGGCAAACCTAGAGGGAACCACCATCCTTTAGCAGGGAAACTAGTAATCCTAGTCAACTAAAGTCAGAGTGAAATGCGCTCTATAAAAAAAAGAAGGTAAACAAAATCCATGTTGAAAAAGCAATCAATCCTCTAAATCCAGATAAAACATTTATAGGGAAGTACAGATACATAAGGAGAGTCATATACAAATACTTGGAATAATTTGGTGTGTGCAAAGTCTGACTCGGAATATATAATCTCAAGAATCTATTGTCAGCTTCTTTATTAAGAAACTAAACATCTGATCAGTGATTAAGCATTTATTATCACAACCATATCTTTCACCTTCACAAATTCAAAACGTTTACATCTTAATATGTCATTTTTTTCAAATGATACAATATAAATTTTGAATATAACATAAAGGATAACATTGTTCAATTTTATAAAGACAATGTCTTATAATGTTGATTCTACAGTGCTTCACAGTGTGTAACTAAACATGGTTATGTCAAAGAAATTTATCATTAAAAGTCTTGTCACATCTCTTTGTAATATAATATTCACTTCAGAAATGGTAAAACTCATACAGAAAATCTGCAATAATCACAAAACACATAATATCAAATATTCCTTCAAATTCCTGACAGCTCAATTAAAATGTTTGACAACTGTTCACAATAATGTTGGTATACTTTCCATGATGCTGTATATTTGTAATATATTTAAGACAAGAAGGAATGTTTGAATGGCATTAAATATAAATGAAATTATTGTCATTATAAATATCTGTATACAAATGGGTAACTTGTGTAATGGTCCTTATATGTGATACAGTTTTATTGCTGTTATTCAAATTAAGATCAAAATCATGATAAATAGAAAAAATAAATAAAAGCAATTTATAAATATGATTATCAAGTTCATATATGTAGTTTTCAAACAATTATAAGACCACCTCTTCAAAACTGAATTCATTTGGAAAACAAACTAAGCTGTATCAATGGAATAACTTGTAATGTTGTTAGATCTGCTAACACAGCCTACAAAGAGAAGGAGAATGTGTTCCATTAGTATATATACTTTATATCTTGCAGTTTGGTGTGAGCCAAGGCTCCGTGTTGAAGGCCGTACTTTGACATAAAATTGTTAATTTTTACACATTGTGACTTGGATGGAGTGTTGTCTCATTGGCACTCATACCACATCTGCCCTTCTTATTTCTATTTACACATCCTGCTCAAAGAAGAAAAAATTGTAATACTGTCGTAATTTTTTCTGCTAACACGGCCTGGAAAGAAAGAACAAACTTTCATAGTTGATTGATCTGCATTTTGTTTTTCGTTTTTCTTCAGTTTAACTGGTATGATTTAAAAAGGAAGAATGAAAAGACAAACAACAGTCTATAAAGTACATCTTCCACCAAAAACAGGAGCTTATCTCAGGTACTCCAGACATTTTCTTCTATTTGAATTTGAAAAATCTATTTTTCTAGCATGCATCATAAAACACCTGTAACACCAATTCATATTCTATATTGAACAATAAACAGGAATTCAATAGGATACTTATACAATGTTCAATCACAAGCTAAAATTCTTTTCTTAGCAACAAAATTGAGCTTCATGCTAGTTATTTTATTTCATACTATATACTTCTGTTCTTATTTTTATGAATAACCTACTCTTGAACTATGTAATGTGTATTGTACCTACTTCATGTAAAGAATAATACAAAACCTCTTTCATTAAAAGAATAAAAGGAAGCATTCAATCTAAAGATATTGAACTCTCGAGAGATTGCCTTTATCAGCGTGTACTTATATAAGATAATTACCTCTGCTGCATTGTAAGATTGCACTTTCAGTAAATTCGTTTTCCTAAATGAGAAGATGGCTACAGCTAACACTGAAAAACAATATGTAGATATAAATCAAACTATAGGTTAAGATCTATATTCTTCATTATCAAGGGCAGTTCTATTAAAGCTTGTAAGATTTATCATGATAAGGTTAACATGTATATTCTACATGAATATGGCAGTTCTTTTAAAGCGTGTAAGAGGTTTTCTGGTAAGGCACTTTTACATTTCTGCTATTAGTCATCGCATCCAAACTTTATTTCAGTTTAAATTTAAAATTATTATTCACTTATATCGATCAAACAGATGAGACTTTTGGATTTGTCAATGGACCAGGATGCCCTACTAAAATTTGTATCCTAGTGTTTGGATTTTACAATGAACAAAGTTTCATGAATATCTGATAACTCATGTACAGGTGGATCAGAGTTGTGTCCATTAAAAAGCATACAGGTGGATCAGTGTTGTGTCCATTAAAAAGCATACAGGTGGATCAGTGTTGTGTCCATTAAAAAGCATACAGGTGGATCAGAGTTTTGTCCATTAAAAAGCATACAGGTGGATCAGAGTTGTGTCCATTAAAAAGCATACTGAATAGATTTAATAAAATCTAAGTATTTATTAGAAGGTAAACTTTAAGATTTGAAAATGGACCAGGATGCCCTACCAATAAATACATCTTACATCTTCAGGTTACAATCTTAAAATCACAAAGATTTATGATCATTTGATATAGCATGTTGGAGGAATTGTATCGATCAGTTGCATACTGAATAGTATAAAAATAATCCCAAGTGTAAAAGGTTTTCAATCTTTTCTACTCTTAACAACTAGTTATGCTTGAGGTGGTGTTGCCATGTTGAAAACCAAGCTGACATAAATAGTCACTGGTAATTTCCCTATAAAATATCAAAGCTAGAAAGAAAACACAATATTTGACAGTCTATGACAAATTCATTCACAACTGTTCTAGACTCTGGGCAATAAAGAGCTTGACCCATAACATAGATGGTTGTCTATTCCATGACAAATTCATTCACAACTGTTCTAGACTCTGGGCAATAAAGAGCTTGACCCATAACATAGATGGTTGTCTATTCCATGACAAATTCATTCACAACTGTTCTAGACTCTGGGCAGTAAAGAGCTTGACCCATAACATAGATGGTTGTCTACTCCATGACAAATTCATTCACAACTGTTCTAGACTCTGGGCAATAAAGAGCTTGACCCATAACATAGATAGTTGTCTACTCCAAGACAAATTCATTCCCAACTGTTCTAGACTCTGGGCAATAAAGAGCTTGACCCAAAACATAGATAGTTGTCTACTCCAAGACAAATTCATTCACAACTGTTCTAGACTCTGGGCAATAAAGAGCTTGACCCATAACATAGATAGTTGTCTACTCTAAGACAAATTCATTCACAACTGTTCTAGACTCTGGGCAATAAAGAGTTTGACCCATAACATAGATAGTTGTCTACTCCAAGACAAATTCATTCACAACTGTTCTAGACTCTAGGCAATAAAGAGCTTGATCCATTGCATAGATGGTTGTCTACTCCCTGACAAATTCATTCACAACTGTTCTAGACTCTAGGCAATAAGGAGCTTGATCCATTGCATAGATGGTTGTCTACTCCAAGACAAATTCATTCACAACTGTTCTAGACTCTGGGCAATAAAGAGCTTGACCCATAACATAGATAGTTGTCTACTCCAAGACAAATTCATTCACAACTGTTCTAGACTCTGGGCAATAAAGAGCTTGACCCATAAAATAGATAGTTGTCTACTCCAAGACAAATTCATTCACAACTGTTCTAGACTCTGGGCAATAAAGAGCTTGACCCATAACATAGATAGTTGTCTACTCCAAGACAAATTCATTCACAACTGTTCTAGACTCTGGGCAATAAAGAGCTTGACCCATAACATAGATAGTTGTCTACTCCAAGACAAATTCATTCACAACTGTTCTAGACTCTAGGCAATAAAGAGCTTGATCCATTGCATAGATGGTTGTCTACTCCATGACAAATTCATTCACAACTGTTCTAGACTCTAGGCAATAAAGAGCTTGACCCATAACATAGATGGTTGTCTAATCCATGACAAATTCATTCACAACTGTTCTAGACTCTGGGCAGTAAAGAGCTTGACCCATAACATAGATAGTTGTCTACTCCAAGACAAATTCATTCACAACTGTTCTAGACTCTAGGCAATAAAGAGCTTGACCCATAACATAGATGGTTGTCTAATCCATGACAAATTCATTCACAACTGTTCTAGACTCTAGGCAATAAAGAGCTTGATCCATTGCATAGATGGTTGTCTACTCCCTGACAAATTCATTCACAACTGTCCTCGACTCTGGGCAATAAAGAGCTTGGATCATTGCATAGATGATTGTCTATAGTTAAAAAGTGTATCTTGACCTCTAGTTGTTGTTTGGAAAAAAAATATTAGGAAGAAAGTTATTCATGATCTAGATAGACAAAGCGTTGCCTGTAATTGCTTACATCCACTTTATTTGAACTTAGGTTGATAGTTGTCTCATTGGCAATCATACCTCATCTCCTTATTTTTATAAAGGGACATATTTGTAACTTTCTTCCTAATAAGTCTATTTTCAAAAACAATTCAATTTTCTAGGTCATCTTTTAACTTACTGGTATTTTTATTTACAGAATAAATATTTACATTCCATGTTTAGAGAATCACAAATCTTTTTTCTTTAAATTTTGACATCCAAACAGTACCACCTGACTTCAGGAAATAAACATAAAACATAAAATTTGTATTTTATTACCAGTAATTCTAATTTTACTTATATGGGAGGATTTCAAATGAGTTGTAAGCTAAAATTCTAATTTCACTTACCTGGGAGGATTTCTAATGAGTTGTAAGCTAAAATTCTATCCCATAACAACAATACTTGATCACTGGACAGATACCCAGAAAATGCTCTTACTAACCACTTAAAAGCTATTTTCAATCTGGAATAAAATTAATCATTTTAATAGTCTGTATATATATACAGTTAAAACAAATACAAGGCTTCATAGAACATTTCTTAACCATCATAATTCGAACACAATTAATGCTGATATACAACAAAAACAACTGTGAGGGTTGGTTGAGAACTTAACTTTACTGTGAGAGAGAGACGTCTACAATTTTCTCATTGTGTAATTTCCATTTCAGCAACACCATACAATGATATATTTATCTCTAAGTTGAAATAATATTCTAATAAGGATTAAACCATGATAGCAATTTGTTGCTGTTTACAATAAATCTACTTTATTGTTAAGTTGAAGTCATAAGTTTAAGTCATATCTAATATAAAATCATGGCTTGGTTGACTATTACAGACCATTTGTTTTCAATAACTTAACTTTTTTATAAGAAGCCATAATCAGTTTTCTATCCTTCTTTAACTTGTAAGATGTTTTCATGTCATGAATAAGACAAAGAAAGCAAAATGGAGAGCAGGAAGTGTTTAATCACAGGCAGCACCTGAGTTCAACCCCAAATCCAGTTTTGGTGGGATTCATAATGCTCAAATTTTAGTGTTCTGCAAAGTGTTTTATTGTATATTCATTCTCTTTTGCTCATGGAAATTTCTGACCTTTTTCGATATATGATTTTGATAAGCCATTAAGTAACTCCTTTTTTAGTTTAATTAAAACCGTGTTTCACATGTCCAGTATTTCATATAATCTTCAATTTATATTAATCTTTAATTCTAAACCTACCAGTTTTACATAAGGATAACTGATGTAGAACTCCTTAAAATACTTTTTACCAGAAAAAATCACATATTTACCTATTGGCCATAGTAACTGTTTTATGATATTTGACAATTACTGTTAAAAAATGTCCTTCTACCAAGACTGTCAAGACATTAAAATGAACTTTCCCTTCCCATGTGGTATTATTTACTAGACACTTTTAAATACAGAATCATCCTTGTCTAGCTAGTTTTTGAAATCGTGTTGAAAAAGTATTTTTTTCTCTTTCATAAAATCATTTAAGGAAAAATCCTTGTTCTGTTTAAAATAGTTAATGCCACATGCAAAATCATAAATAATGAAACTACCATTCATTGGCTTTGATTATAACTTGAAGCTCTCTATATCACACAAAGACTATATTCATTCATAATAGATTTAAATGATACTGAAATCATGATATACAACGATTAAAAAACTTACGGCTGACATCCAACTGTCTTTAGATGGAAGAACAACTCGGGTTCATGGGTTTGTAGTAAAACTTCAAATAACAGGCTTAGTGCAACAATTCCCTGGCAGTAAAATTACAGATTGTTATATAAATGTATATTTGATTATTTCAATTCATTAAACAAATCTTTCAATAAAAATTTATCAAAAATGTGTTAAAGTTATTTCAAGACTGAGAAAAATTGTTAATAATTTTTTCCTTTTACATTTTACAGAATATATAACAGGCAATAAAAATGAACACACTTAAATGTCTCAAATAATAAAAGTTGGAAAATATCTTAAAAGGCTGAAATATTGAAATCATTCATGTACATGTAATAATTTCACATATTAAGTATATTCATATCTATCATGTATAATTTCTGTGATTACAAAACCTAACTCAAATATTAAACCGGACCAATGGAGCACGAAAATGAGATCAAAGTCACATTTATCATATAATATTCTGATACTTAATATCATTAACCAGCCATATTTCCTTGTCTGACTTATCATAATTTTACTAAAGATGTGACAGAATTAAACATTAAAAAATAAATATGAATATGGGTACAGTAAATTACATATATTTATTAAAGTTATTGGTCACATGAAGTAGTAACGGTCAAGTGATTGTTTACTATAACACATGTTTGTGTTTATATCAAGCACATGGTTTGTGTTTATGTTAAATATGATTGGATGGCATATACACGCGTATATGCAGCTCATGAGATTTGTGAAAAGCATAATTAAGTATTACTTAAGGGGTTCGTTTGAGAAAATAAAGTTATTCAAAGTTAACCAGAATAATTCAGTCCCTCTGGTTATCGACTCTCCCACTTGCTATGGGGCCTGAATTCTTTATACAATAAAAACATGTCAAAAATCTAGGATTTTGATTGGTGCTCTCTGTGAGAGAGAGCCAATCAGCTAATAGCTCGATGTTATCGAGATAGGTAAATCCTGAGCTTATTCTGAATGATTATTTGACGATTTTTTATTGACAAGGCCTTCAGGAGTTAATGTAGCCATCGTAGAGCAGAGGAATATAACGACTGAATTATTCGGGTTAATTAGAAGTTTGCCTATAGTTAACGTAGCAGCAGTTTGTTACTATGTTTATACACCCACCCACCCTTTTTGAGTTGATTATTGTTAATGTGGGTATATAAATTCATTAAATTATATTAATATGTATTTTTCCTCTTTGTAGATAGATTTTGATTGTGTATTCTATTATATGATTGGATTAGTAGTGTGCTTGCCTGAATTTATAGTGAAGGACTTTTTGAAGAATTTTGATTGTAATAAATATATTAAAGGCTGCTACACCTGTAGGCACACTTATCCTATTTATGTGTTGTTTTATTTATTTAATAATTTACATTCGTTAGAGCTTGGCGAATTAGAATATAAAGTGGATTTATTATAATCCATGGGGTACTAATTTTTACATAGTCACCATGGGTTAAGTCTAACAACAAATTTCATTGTTCAAATAAGTACACAAATTTCCAAAAGAGTTGTACACAAAATTTGTGAAAACAATGACATCAAGTATCCATGGAAATCCAATTTTTTCCTCAATCCACATAAATTGGTAATTATGAAAATAAATGAATCCACAGTGTCCAGAAAGTGTACCAACCTGGTGATGAGAAGATATACTATGTAATCTGTAGAAATAGCGAGTGTAGATCTCTCTAAACACGTAGTACAATATGACTGGATCATTATATAGGTAACATAAAGGAGCAACTGAAATAATAAAAAATACTGATTAATTGATAGTTTCTTGCTAGTTTACTGCCACTTGTAAATACAAAATACATGATAAGATTGAGAATATAGAAAACAATATATTGTATGATTAGTTGGTGGAGAGAATTGGCATAGAATTTTGAACATTTGGAGCAAAAAATGAATGCTGATGAGTTACAAATGTTTTATTTCAATGATTAATTTGCAAACTGCAATGAATATCTTATCCAATTGATATTCTTTTTGCACATTTTAATCTATGCAAAAAAATAAAGGACTTATAATTCAATGTCCCCAGTCTCACAAAATGATAAACAAATGTTTATACCATTATAAGTAAATGTAGATAGTATAACTATAAATTAAATAGTTTTTGTAACTTTATATACATGTTCTACAAATGTATGATGATGGAAGAATCAAATAAATAAGAAATTTCATTTTAAATGCTAATAATAGCATTACTCTTTCATAACAATAACTGACGTTGCACTAAAATGTAAGATTTTTTTCTCCTATTGTTCAACACTCATAGTAAGAACCATCAGATGTTAAACAGCCATCCATCCATAGATCCATCATAAATTAGAATTTAAAAATGAGGTATACCTGAATTAACAATTAATATGAAATAGGGGAGATGTGTTATTATTGCCAATTGCCAATGAGACAACTATCCACCTGAGACAAATCGGTACGTGAATTACTGGAATTATAGAGCACAGTATGGCTTTTAATACTGAGAAAAACCCAAACTGATTAGTCAGCTATAAAAGACATTGACATGACAAAATGTGAAACAATTAAACAATTCAAATGAGAAAACCAACGACCTGATTTAAACCTGCTCATTTCACTGTTAACAACTACTAAATTTATATATTTTCACATCTGATATTAAACATATAAAAGGCTATAGGGAACAAAAACAATACCAATTTCAAGTTATTTCCTATTATTCAGTCAATTTTAAATAAGTTTTTTGGAAAAGACAAACGATTTCATAATTAATTCTGTTCAATAAATACTTGAAATTTACAGAACTGTCAAATAACACAGGCTGAACACAATATTTCAAAACAGCCAAAAATAGAACATCATACCAAGGAAGTAATATATTGACATCAATACTTCCCTGATCATACATAGGATATTGTGCTAATGTAAAGATATCTCAAACTGTCTTTTAACAACATGGGATCTAATAAATGTCAATAGGTTTCACAGCTCTCCAATTATAACAGGAGTGACAATATAATAATGTAACCTTACTCAAATTGTTCAATTTGATTTAAACACACAGCATTATGTAATCTACTAATTCATTCTAATGCAATATCACCTATAGGCTGACTTATTCATAAGGTGAAAATAATTGACAATCTGAAAGAATAAATATCCACTTAGTAGAATTCAGAGAATCTTATAAATTATTCCTCTTTTAAAATAATTTGACAGTTTTTCAATGAAATCAATTACTGTGCGAAACACTTGATAACATGTGCAAAAATTTCAGCAATTTAAAGAAATGTTTATTTTCGTGGGTACTGATTTTCATGAATTGAAGGAAAAATGTATTGTCATTGATACTTATGTTCATGCTTTTGACAAATTCTGCATACAGTCAGTAGAAAATTTATATTTTGTTGAACATTTGAATCCTTGGTTCCCCTATGTCCACAGTATTCACCAAATCAACTCCTTTTTTTTGGGTTGTCAAGAAGAGTAAATACTCTCTTTTGTTCAGCCCAACAGTTAAAAGGAGTTTATCAGTGTTTACCAACAACTACAAACTGTAAAGTTCTTTCCTTCAGAACCAAAATCAAGAAGAAAAACAGTGCTAAGCAAATAAATTTCACTTAATGAAAAAAAAAAAAAAATCACCTAGTAGGTTCTTGCACGTGCTCATCATTTGTTAAAAAAAAACCATTTGAAAATTCACTAAAATATGTGCATTTTAACAAAAATATCTAAAAATAAGATTTGAATAAAATCTCTGATATTATAGATCAAGATGTACCTGTTTTTCTAACATGGCATAGATATAATGTGCAAATTCAAATAAAAAATAACATTCTCAGTGAAAAAATAGACCAATTAAGGCTTTTATATAGAATCCAGAAATTTTGAATTCATTAATTCTATTTGATTCTGCGTCAATCTGAAAGTTTTTGGTACAAACAAATATATCAAGCATGGTAATAAAGAAAGACAAGATTTCCTGTGTAAATGTCTTTTTTGTTGCAGTTTAATGTAAAGATGGCCTTCTTCCCATTTCATTTTATAGACATATAACACCATGAAATCGATCTGTTCAGCTTTAAGTAATAAATGTAAATTACATAATGACGTTAACCAAAGGTTATGTAAAACCCTTATAGTTGTCAGAATCTAATCCATAAAATTGGTTTATGTAAATTCTTATAATTATTGTCACTAAAGTTATGCCAAGTTTAATCTAGAAATTGACCATAGACATATAGTCTTAGATCAAAGGTACATATTCAATCAAAATCTGGACGGCTGCTTTAATACTTCAATCCACCAGTATAAAATAAGGTCGTACTTCTTATACAAATTCAATTATATCGCACTCATGACATTACACGAGAAACATTTTTGGAAAATGTATTATATAAGTTGTGTAAATCTAGCTATCAAAATGAATTATTAGTATGCTTGTCCATATCCATTGATTTACATTTCTATGATATTATATAAAAGTGGAAATTAATAAAGGCAACTATATCAATTCTATTATATCTTATTCAATGACATCTATAGGCTATGATTCAGAAGTCTATCTTATCTAATCAAAAGATAAACATGTCTGTAGAATATAAATCTCTTAAGTCTGCTATTTCATAGACTTCAAGGGTTTAACAATGACTTTATCTAGACTGAGGTGCGTCTTTATATGACAAAAGACATGAAAAACATGACACAAACTATACTGAAGAATATATCCCTGTATGACAAAAGGTAACAAAACTCATGACATAGACTAAACTGAAGCATATCCTTGGATGACAAAGACAAAAATATCATGACATAGACTAAGCTGAAGCATGTCCTTGTATGACAAAAGACACAACAATCATGAGATATTATATAAATAACACATAGCTGAGAGGGTGATAGAGCAGATTGTTACCCCGAGAAAACATTGTCAACTGAGGCGAAGCCAAGGTTGACAATGTCTTTTCGAGGGGTAACAATCTGCTCTATCACCCTCTCAGATATGTGTTATTTAATTTATTATACTGAATGTTCTGTTATTACTGTCTATTAAATTTCAAATTCAAAGTAATAAACTATAAGGTCTTGTACATAACAACCATCCGTATTTATTAAAACGCACACTTGATCAAACGTCTCCGTGAAGGGTAATAGAGTAAATTGTCTCCCTCGTATTAACCAATCAAAATCTGGCATTTTAACATGAAGTATAATAAACTAAAATGAAGCATGTCCTTGTATGACAAAAGACAAAAACATCATGACATACTTAAGGTCACAACAATCATGACATAGACTAAACTGAAGCATGTCCTTGTATGACAAAAGGTAACAAAACTCATGACATAGACTAAGCTGAAGTATGTCTTTGTATGACAAAAGACAAAAACATCATGACATACTTAAGGTCACAACAATCATGACATAGACTAAACTGAAGCATGTCCTTGTATGACAAAAGGTCACAACATTCATGACAAAGACTAAACTAAAGCATGTCCTTGTATGACAAAAGGTCACAACAATCATGACATAGACTAAACTGAAGCATGTCCTTGTATGACAAAAGGTCACGACAATGATGACATGACTTAACTGAAGCATGTCATTGTATGACAAAAAGACATAACAATCATAACATAGACTAAACTGAAGCAGGTCCTTGTATGACAAAAGACACAACAATTATGACATAGACTAAACTGAAGCATGTCCTTGTATGACAAAAGACACAACAATTCTGACATAGACTAAACTGAAGCATGTCATTGTATGACAAAAGACACAACAATCATGTCATATACTAAACTGAAGCATGTCCTTGTATGATTAAAAGACACAACAATCATGACATAGTCTAAACTGAAGCATGTCCTTGTATGACTAAAGGTCACAACAATAATGACATAGACAAAACTGAAGCATGTCCTCGTATAACAAAAGACACAACAAGCATGACATAGACTTAACTGAAGCATGTCCTTGTAAGACAAAAAGACAAAAAGAATCATGACATAGACTAAACTGAAGCATGTCCTTGTATAAGACAAAAACATCATGACATAGACAAAACTGAAGCATGTCCTTGGATGACAAAAGGTCACAAAAAAGATGACATTGACTAAACTGAAGCATATGCTTGTTTGACAAAAGGTCACAAACAGATCAAAATAGACTGAAGGACATGAATGGACACAAGTTTCATTACTGATGCATGGCTGTTTTAATAGATTACAATTGATAGCAATACACTGTCTACCCCATACAATATTGAAATGATTGATGCATTGGAGATTCACTTCAGAATATCTTACCAATATTGTTGAAATTTTTAAAGGAAAATATTAAGACATACAAACCACCAAATTTGAAATATCAATAAAAAAATTACCCAAAATTACTATTGACATTTTGAGAAAAAAATTATTCAAAATCAAATTATATGTTGAAATTTCAGCCAGAATAAAAAAATTCAGATATTGGATTTGTTAATCTTTTTTTCTTATATCTAACCTAATCATTTTAAATCTATTCCAGTGCTGTATCAGAAGAATAACAATAGAGTTTTTGAAAGACCAAGTTTAATAGTTATTTGCAGCAATAATTATCTGAACCAAATGTCCAATGATCATGATGTTTATTCGACCAACACTTCCAATTAACTAAGGATTTTGAACTACAGCAATACCATTCAAATAAATGAGTCTTTATATTGCTGATCCTTTACTGATTAAGACTGAGGTTATAGACCTTTGTGATCTCTCATATAAATACACACTCATGTTAGTAGTGTGTACTTTTCACATTTTCACATGTAAATACATAAAAAAAAACATAGGTGTACAATCTAAAATAATTTTACTTTATTGTTTTCAATTTAAAAAAGCTGCTATTCATCATGATTCATAAAACATAATTTCAAACACAAAATAGCATTTAAATTTTTCTCTATTTCATGCATTAAATATGTCTATATTGAATTTTGTTTTTATTTGAATTTCTCTTTTTGTTTCAATTATTTTAATTTTGAGGGGAGGAGGGAGTATTGCCAGTTCAATATTGAGAAACAGTTGTAGTAAATATTTAAGTAGAAATATAAAGTGCTTTATCCCCATTCTGAAACAAGTAAAACTGTAAGCTCTTCCTCACTAATGATACCCCCGCTGTGCACAAGAAGCTGGTGAGTGATAAATCATCTCAAAACATTTTACATGATAAACCATGTTCACATGAAGCCTAACATCAAATTTTAGGATTCTCTTATTTGTAATTCCATAAAAAAGTGTGACAAATATTTCATACTTGATCATTACATGTAAGAAAATATAAGTATTCTGTCAACAGGAAGTTGATAAGCCATTAATCTAAAAAGAGCATCACACAGTAAAGTGTGCTTGTTAAAATGAAGCCTGTTAACAAATTCAGGAAGCTCTTATTTGTACTGTCTCTACCTAGAAAAATCTGAAGATTTTGTGTTAGAATAAATAAGTATTTAGTAAACAAGAAGTTAAGGATTGATGAATCTGAAACCACATTACAAGGTATAGCATGTTCACATGGAGACTGATAAAGAAAATTCAGGTAGCTCTTAATTGTAGTTCCTTAAAAAAATTAAAAAATGTGGCAGAATTTAATGCAACAGACTGACAGACAGAGGTAAAACAGTATACCATCCTTCAGAGCAGGGATATTAGATAACAATATGAATAATTAATAGTTTACATGCTATATAGTTGCAAACATCTCCATTATATGGTCTCTGGTGGCTTATTGTCTCATTGGAAATTATACCACACCTTTTTATTTTCCATACATGGTCAATTTTGATATGATACTTTGAAAAAAGCAAGATCTCTTAAACAATTGTTCTCAACTTTTTTGGAATAGATTTGAACTTCAGAGGAAGAGGATTGTCACCAATGAGTATTTTTGCTCTGAAGCAACATTAAGCAATCATCAATCAATCAATCAATCAGAGGTGGAAATTGTAAAATAAATATCTAACTGTAAAAAACATTTTTTTCAAAAAATAAGCAAACATATATATAGTCCGTCCAAGGATCATTTAGTTCAAGTGATTCACAAGACAAAACGAAAAATTGAAACATTTAATTTAAATAATGTACAATCTACTTGACATTTAGATTAAAGTGTTGATACATAAAGTATTTCAGACATTGGTTAAACCAGCAGTATTAATCAATTTCATCCCTGTACAAATAAATAATGGTTAAACAAGATTTTCTGTAAAATGACAAAGTGCTAGGAAACCTTTTTGTGGAAAAAAAAATGCCATTTATCTAATCAGATAGATTTTGCTAAAATGCTTGGAAAATATGTATAACAATAGCAAAAATTTTATTTTGTGACCTTTTTATCTGAAATTCCAAGTGTATCAAACAAGACTGCACAGGTTAAAATGTCTCTCCTGCTTAAAGGGGCATTAGCTGTCAAATTTATGTTCACTGATTTAACTCCAATTCTCATATTTGATTTATAACATACTAAAATGTATATCCAAATTACAAAAAGTCTTAAATAAACAATTAACAAGAGGCTCTCAAGAGCCTGAATCGCTCGGCTTTAATTTTTTGCTTAAATCTTTCATCATTGATTATTTTTGCTTTTCAAACGATTTATGATGCATGGGATCGATAATAGATAATATGTATCGGCATTTCGTGTGTATTTTAGTCTAGATTAATTAACCAAAGGCTGCAGACGGTCAAATAACCCAATAAAAACATAAATATAGATATACACATAAATAGCAAACACTGCAATCAGACTTTTCTAGATCTGTTTCGTTTCATATTACAGATTAAAAAATATGTTAATCATCGTTTTTACCTGAGTAAGAATGAGTTGTTGTGGATCGAATCAGTCAGCCGATTGGTTTCACTTTCAATGTTGACTGACATTCTTTTCCTTTTAATAGCTGAATACGCCTAATTTATGCTTAACCCATCTCTAGCTAATCGGTTAAATTGAAGATCACATGAATATGGATTCAATGAGCTTGAATTATTCACTTGCAAGTGAAAAATTCATCAGCGATGTTTCTTAGCTTATTTTGACAAAATTGAACCAAACTGGCTACTAAAAGCGAATTATTATTATTATTTCACTATTTCACTTTCATTAATGATTGAACAAAAAAAAATCATATCTTAATTAGGTCATTCCACTTTTCTGTGGAAAGACCTATTGTATTTGTTCTGATTATCTTTATTTTTTTTTTTCTTCTTCCGCCAAACCCTTTTCTTGCGGTATTAAGTTGTTTCGCAAGATGTTGCTTAGATATTTTGGATATTGTATCAAACAGTTATTGCGCTTTTAAAAACTCATCTTGTTAAGGCAAAGACTTTTTATTGTAAGAGTTATCTCCCAAGACACTATTTTTCTTGTTAGTGTATCTCCTCCGTAACCAAAAAAGATAACCACAAAATTCATTTTCATATTTGTTCATTACATCCTAAAGAATTTTTGGCTGATTTGGATCGAAGCGATCCAGTGAAATTTTATAGGAGTTATCTACCTTTATCAAATAAATTTGTCGTAAAGTTTTTGTAACTCATAAACCGTAATCCGTATAAACCTATAGTCTTTTTATTTCAGGTCTTTGGGTCTTAACTTAGAAAATGAGGTCAAGGTCAAAGGTTAAAGGTCATGTTCTGAATTTTGTCTTTTGCTTGTTTTTGCATTTTCTTCGATATTTTTAACGTTATATATAAAAGAACTAGTGCAAAATGTTTGTTATATTGTAATGAAGATATGATACATTTGGTCTGAATCAATCTAGTGACATCTTATAGGAGTTATTGCCCCTGAAATGTTTTATTTAAGGTAAATTAATTATTTCTTCAGATTGGTACATGATAAAGCCATAAGATCTTTTGCAAAATGTTGGGCGACATATGACCTTGAAAAACGTCAACCGGAAGTGACCTTGAGCAAACCGGAAGTAGTAATTTTTGCACTTATTTCATGTAAAAGTACATAGAAACCATATATTTTTTGAATGGTCATACATTAACCTATCATTTGAGACCGGAAGTGACATTTTATAAACCGGAAGTAGCATATTATGTCCCTTATTACAGGCATAAGTATATACAAACTATATATTTTTGGAATCAGTGTGAATAAAGCTATCATATGAGACCGGAAGTTGGCAATTATCTCCCTTATTTCAGGCAAAAGTCTATAGAAACCATATGTTTATTGAATCAGTATGAAGAAACCTATGATTGGACGCCAATAGTTGCTTTGAGTGAAGAAGAAGTAGCTTCTTATCAATTATTTAGAAAATTGATGTGGAAAGATCTAGACCTTCAATTGTTCTGTGAACAATTGGTTTTTAATTTTTTATTATATCTCGTAGCTGATGCCCCTGTAAATGATCATGACTGAGATAATGTTGAAAATCTCTATGATCAAACTTTACTACAAATGATGCATGAAATTAACATTATCGATGATCCATGAAAATGAGGTCATGGTAAGATAAACCCTGCCAGATGGACATGTACACTTTACAATCATTTCTTGTGTCTTCTCTATGTTTCTCAAGGAAGACAAAAACAGTAAACACTGCAAATTTTCAATCGTTAGCCATTTAGTCTTTTCTTAACATGCAGAACATGCCTTAGCCATCACATATTTAAACAGAAGAAGTGTGTTACTAAAAATGATCTTCTCACAAAATATCTTTCTGTTTGATTCTTAATCATATAAATTTCAAATGACCTTAATTTCAACATTGTAACATACCATACATTGCAAATCCATGGAATGGAATGACCCCATTGGGTGGATATAGAACAGAGAACTCTTCAACTCCTAACTTTCCACGGATATATGATTTAGGGGGTGTAGCACTGTTCTGTGAGAAATGATTCAGCACAAAGGTATCTCTTGAGAATGGCAATAAAACCTGAAAAAGGAATAATATTCCGATTTATGTAATGGAATATTGCAAAAGCTGTTTACATAGAGATTATATATGAGATACTGTTAATTCAGAAATTATTGCGAGGTTTTTATCAATGCAAATTATGCAATTGTTAAGTATTTTAAAAAATCATGAACTAGGATTCTGATATCTGATAGATATATCAATATGCAGCTTAACTCAAAATTGCAATAATTAATCATCGCAGTTTTAGTTCATTCTTCAAAAAAAAAAAGCAGGCAATAATTTCTGAATTTACAGTTATCTGATTCAATAACAAGTAACACTAAGTCAAGTAACTCCCTCACAAATAGTGACTAACAAAATTAAACAAGCATTTTTGTCGGTATAGCATTTCAATTCTAAGTCCTCTACTGGCTCAGTCTGGCTGTTATCTTTACATAACTTGTGTCAACACTTATTTGGGACAAGTATTACGTTTCAACTGATGTACCAGGGAAGTTATGGAATTTCAGTCTTATCATTCATTGGTCCAGAAAATTCATTTCAAGATGCAGGCCCAATCCCCAAAAAGCATCTATTTTAAACATATTTTTTTTTTACATCACAACTTTGGAAAATACTCAACTGGAACAAAATTTAATTATCTGCAATTATAACTGTTTAGAATTACCAAATATCTAATCAATAGATTCAGGCATAACAGAAAAAACTCAGATTTCTAAGCATTTTTTTTTTATTTCCCTGGGCCAAAACTTCAGTAAAAATTGCTCAACAGAAGCTAAGCTCAAATTTGTCTGTAATTTCTTATGATATGACTAAATACCTAATATCAAACCAATAGATAAAAGTATCACAGAAAAAAGTGCAGAAAACTTACCAGACAGACATAGTGACTGATAGATGGACAAACTAGGTTCCCTTTGGCTTTGCCATTACGGGCTAATTGAGAGGTCGATAATTTAAACCCACCCTAGCTTTACCACCCTGGTTTTACAACATTCAAAGCTGTTTTTGCCATAAAAAGAAGGATAACTGTTTCTGATAAAGTTGTTTTATGGTTAACATGCTGTTTTCAGGAATTCTGATATTTTCAAGTAGATTTGATTTCATTCATGGTTCATAGCTTAGGCTAAAATCATTAAACAGGAACAAACCCCAAATACAATCTGTATCTTCTAATTATATCACTTCATACCAAATTGATATTATTTTTTTGTGGTGCAGATAGTTTTGTCTGGTTACAGATATTGCTATCTAATGAAGTTTTCAAAATAACAGACTAAAACACTAATATTGGTTAAAATTGTATTTTAAGATCAATAATTTCAATATGGAGTCATCTAATTATTATGTAAAAATGGAAAGTAGGCCTACCTTTTTAGGGTTTTCAAGATCTAAGCTTAAGACAATCTAACACATTTTATCCTGAGATTCCATTTTAAGAAATATCTGTCAAGTAGGTAGATGGACCAAATTATAATCCATAAATAATAACCTAAACATGTAAGGTCAACTTTGGTTTGAATAAGAACTGTAATTTCAAAGAAAAATAAATAAAGAATGTGACCATGGGACACAGATGCCCCGGCTTGCAAATTTTCAACAAATTCTGCAATTTTTCAATTTACAAAGGGACACAACTCAAGAACAGCAAAAGTGATGCCACCAAAATGTGAACTTGATTTGTGTTTGGTGGAAATAAGCATTGTGTATAAGTTTCGTAACATTTGGTTGATTCAAAATAAAGGTAGATTGCGGAAACTAATTTTTGGGATGTATGGACAGACAGACAAGGGTAAAACTTAATGCCTCCTCGGCCTGGGCAGGGGCATAAAAATCTTAAAACTGATGAAAGATGATACACATAAGACAATGGTTGCCAAGTTATAGCTATGGTTAATATGGCAGAAAGAACCATTTAAGCTGTACATGTTTATAGGGAATTTATACAAAGGAATGAAAATCTTGGAACTCTATACTTTCAATAACCCTACCTGGTATAAAAAATCTTCGAACACAAAATATTGATCATCATTGGTTGCTGTAAGCTTGACATCCTATCAAAATAGATAAAACAAACATTAAAACTAAATAGATTTGTCTTACTTAACTGACACAATCAATCATAAAGTATAATTACAAGATACTCTTTTTTTTTTTTGGTAAGTAAAAGAGAAGAAAAATAACTCAATGTTCTCCTGTTTTATGAAAAAACTCATATTCATATTTCCAATTTTGTTTATCCTGCAATTCTTTCAATTTAAATGACAAATTCATGGTTCTTATAAATTTTTGCTACTAATGGGAGACAACTCAATATTCTTATACTAAATTTTCATTACATTCATTGTGTCAAAAACATAAATATTAACTGTTACTTTAAACAGTTTTGTGATAATTCTAATTCTCAAAGTAAAACATTTCTGCACCCATTGCAGTTAAATGTTTCTTGCTTTATGATGAAAGATTTTAACGCCTCTTGGTCTCATGCTCGCTATCACACAACATTTGGAAGTAAAAGCAAAGATTGGTCATGCCAGGAGTCAGAATAATGTGTAAGGTTAGGGTGACAGTCTTTTTTTGGAATGTTACATTGTGTACTAGAACTTTAGAAATCTAGTTCAAAATGGTGGTCTTGTACAAAGCAGGATTTATATACATATCACATTAACATGTTCTTGTCCTGAATATGCATTTAACTTGCCACTGGACATTAAACAGACACCAATCAATCAATGAACGATTTACACATGATATTACCTTGTACAATAAGCTGTCTACTAAAAGGTCATGGTGTAGTACACTGGTCTTCAACTGTTCATAGTACAGTTTGTCCTGAAATAAGTTTTAGTATGTTGTTATTTCAACTAACATCAGTGCATAAAAATATGTATCAATATACAAATCAGAGGATGTGGTATGATTGACAATAAGACAACTTTCCATCAAAGACCAAATAACTTTCGCTAAATTGGATAATATTTGAAAATACATGTTCACAACAACACACATGTGCTTCAATGCATAATGTCTGCAACTTAATAAAGCTTTACCACCTCAACACATAATTTCTGCATCTTTATAAAGCTTTACCACCCTAACACATAATGTCTGCATCTTTATAAAGCTTTATCACCTCAACACATAATGTCTGCATCTTTATAAAGCTTTACCACCTCAACACATAATGTCTGCATCTTTATAAATCTTTACCACCTCAACACATGATGTCTGCATCTTTATAAAGCTTTACCACCTCAACACATAATGTCTGCATCTTTATAAAGCTTTACCACCTCAACACATAATGTCTGCATCTTTATAAAGCTTTACCACCTCAACACATAATGTCTGCATCGATCTTTATAAAGCTTTACCACCTCAACACATGATGTCTGCATCTTTATAAAGCTTTCCCACCTCAACACATAATGTCTGCATCTTTATAAAGCTTTCCCACCTCAACACATAATGTCTGCAACTTTATAAAGCTTTACCACCTCAACACATAATGTCTGCAACTTTATAAAGCTTTACCACCTCAACACATAATGTCTGCATCTTTATAAAGCTTTACCACCTCAACACATAATGTCTGCAACTTTATAAAGCTTTACCACCCTAACACATAATGTCTGCATCTTTATAAAGCTTTACCACCTCAACACAAACTGTCTGCATCTATTTAATTTATAAATCTTATAATTTAATTTTATTCCTTGGAAGCCTCTTCCTTCCAGAACCATTCTAAACATTGTATCAACTGTCTTTTTAATGTTACATGATTAATCAAATAATTAATGGAAGTGTTCCAAATAAACTGTTACAAAAATATCAGACGACGACATGACAAAGAAGGTAACTTATGTAGAAGGTAGATTAAATGTTCTGTGTAACTAAACAAATATGACTTACCACATCATCTACTTCTACACATAACATCTGTGACCATAGTGTGGCTCTTAAACTGCTTGGACATCCTTTCTTAGAAAACTCTTGTGCTACTGGACCATGGTTTGCATTGACAACTGTAAAATACAAATCAATTTTTAATGACAACATCATCCAATATGAGTTCTGACTTGACATAGGCAAAAAAAGTCAGAATTTTTCATCTTTCTTGTCCATTTACTTACGATCAGACTTTTTGCAACATTTACTCTTGCCTACATCCATATATATAATAGTATAGCCATCTATATGATATTTAACACTAGACCTACCTTTTTTACCATACGATGTGGTTCACTAGACCTACCTTTTTTACCATACGATGTGGTTTACTAGACCTACCTTTTTCACCATACGATGTGGTTCACTAGACCTACCTTTTTTACCAAGTTTGCTCCTATCTAAGTCAAACAATTCAGAAGGTATATCTGTTGAGTCATCTATACCAGATTGACATTGATTGATTGCCATCTCACTGTACTGTAATCTCTGGAAGATAAGGTCATAAGTTAGAATAAGTACTATGTATGTAAAGTGTTGGTTTTTTCACCAAATGAGAGTTATCACCAGATTTGTACTTGCATGAGCAACATGATGGGTGCCTCTTGTGAAGCAGGATAAGCTTTCCTTCAGGGGCACCTGAATTCACCCCCTGGTTTTATAGTGATTTGTGGACTTGAAACATTCAAAACTCATAAGTTAAAGAAAAACAATGTCATGGCAAAAATAAACATCTTCTGACCCATTTCTTTTCATATCTGACATACATGTTGGTAAGTAAAGGTATTTGTTACAATAAACTGCTCTAATTGTAATAACCTGTTATTCATTACTTAGTTTTTTTACTATTTTTCATAAAAAAAATGTTAAATTTGTCTTGATCAAGTGCAATAAACAGTTAATTTCAGATGCTGCGATTGGTAGCTGATAGTTAAATCATATACTTTAACATGTTCATTTAAGCAAAGATTATCAAAATCTAAATTTAACTAACTTGAGAGAATAAACACATTGTATCAAACTTACAACAAATAAGAATCTATATGTAATAAAACAAACTAACTTCTGTTCAATAACAAATTAAACTTTTCATCTACACTTTTCCATGAATATATTCTTCCCAAATTCTAAGTTCTAAAGATATCTTTCAGAAAGTTGTTATTTCATGCAAAGTATAATGGATGGAAAACTTGCTAGGAAATATGGTATAATAATTGTATTTTCCTAAGTAGTACAGTAAATCAAATCGTAAACATTATCTCTCTTTGATAACACATATGACAGTTTACTAGCTACAATAATGAGAGTAACATGTGTGCAGCTATCGAAATGATGATAACATGCTATTCAGAATTAAAAGTATGACTAATTCTGATTATTCGTTATAAGACCTTATATTTATTTATTACTAGACACCTTGTAGGCTCGATCTTCCGTTTAGAAAAGGCTAAATAGTAACAAAGTTTTGTAATAAAAATCAGCTTTATGAAATCTGTATCTCATAAAGAGGTACCATTATCACCTGTGGGAAAAACCATTATTGTAGTTTGCGTAACCTACATACCTGCCAACTTTTGAAAATCCCCATGGGGGTTTTAGTGCGTGACAACAATTTCAAATTCTTTGCAGTGTTTTTTGCACATGCTGTTTTGTGCTCTAGAAAAAGTTCATATATTTTTTTTTTATATGGTATACTGATGATGAGCTTACAAGCCTTTTTCTTCTTTTTATTTGCATGATTCTAGTACTTATATCAGTAGAAAAAATGAACATTTAGCTACAATACCAGGATATAATTTCTTGTGTAAGAATATTAAAGTGATTGTTGACTGTTCCAATTTAAAATTATGCACAAAGAAGAAAATTTATCTGATCCTTGTGAAAATAAAACATAGTACATTGTACTTTAAATGATTTGGTAATCTAATTACAAGAATGACAACAGGGTTTGATATGTTACAGTAAGTGTAATGTCCATAAGCCACTATTTATTATGTTTAAGGTAGTACTGCATCATTGAATTTTGTTAATCAGCCATGCTTTTCTTCTTAAGCTTTGTAAGAACCTTCTTGCAGATGAAAATTCACCTGCTATGTTCACAATTTTTGCAATTCTGACATACATACAGAGGAATACAACTCAAATGTTCCAAACAAGTTCAAATTTAGCATGTCTGCAATGCCCAATAATAATCACGAGAAACAACGACAGCATGTCAGTAACTGCTAGTAGTCCTTTGTTTATTTATGTATCATTGTCATTTTCCTTACTTTCTTTTGTTACCTATTCTGACATCGGACTCGGACTTCTTTTAAACTGAGTTTTACTGTGCGTATTGCTGTGTGTTTCTTTATTCTATATTGGCTAGAGTTATAGGGGGAGGGTTGAGATCTCACAAAACATGTTTAACCCCGCCGCATTTTTGTGCCTGTCCCAAGTCAGAAGCCTCTGGCCTTTGTTAGTCTTGTATGTTTTTTAATTTTAGTTCATTTATATGTTTTGTAGTTTAGTATGACGTCCATTTTCACTGAACTAGTACACATTTTTATTAAGGGGCCAGCTAAGGCCCACCTCCGGGTGTGGGATTTTCTCGCTCCATTGAAGACCCATTGGTGGCCTTCAGCTGTTATCTGCTCTTTGGTTGGGTTGTTGTCTCTTTGACATATTCCCCATTTCCATTCTCAATTTTATTATAAATGTGATCATGAGAAACAGACTTTGATTGGCTGATCACGATTGTCTTACCTGGGGAACAATTCAAAATCGGGAACAATAATTTTTTTTAGGTGTAGAATTTCACAAAATCGTGTTTTAGAGCTTTTTCACGACTGTACACGCCTAAATCGTGAAAGTTGAACCTACATAAGGCTATTTAGACATTATCTACCCTTGGTTGATATATGTTTACTTGAACATTATCTCCCCTTGACTTTAACATGACAACTTACAAGTTTATTTATACTTTTGACTTTGACAGGAACTTGAACTATTCCCCACAGTGGGAAAAATCTGTAAAATAAAATTTATAAGTTCATGTATTTTTCATCAAGATTCTTCTGTGCTTTACAATACTAATCACCTCTTGACATAAAGTTAAAAAATAGAGATAATCACCACTGGATACTAGTACTATCAAAGTTATCTCTAAATTCATTTAAAAAAAAAACATGATAAACAGTCAAGAGAGAGGTTACAATTATATTCCCAATGTCTTTACCTCCCAAGTTGATATGATTGAATAACAATAGAAAGATATAGTTTTAAAAAGTGAGTGGATATTTCAGTAGGATGCAGACACCCTGATCAACAGCAAATGAGATATGAACAAGGGCCATAACTCCAACAACCAAATTGAAATTTTAACTTTTACTTTTGACAAATACTTTCATTTATTTAAAAAAAATGTTTTGTCTGATCTAATCAAAGCATGGAAATGCAGAGTTTTCTGTTTCTTTAAACACATACCATTGATTTAGCAAGTGTCTTCATTAAAAGAAGAGTACCTTTCTTAAGTTATGATAATTGTTATGTAAATGTAAACCATTACTAATATAATATGTAAATTAATTACCCATTATTATCCCCATGGTAGTTAGGATTCTGTATGCCTACAATCACTTCAAGGAAATCTTTTGGTGCATATACTGGTCGGATTTGGGTAAGGTCTAAAAAAGAAGCCAATAAATAAATATCATGTCCTTTACAGATATGAATATATACTAGTATGTCACATTAAGTATATAAATCAAACTTTTAACTGTTATTTCTAATTACAGTTTATATAAAAAGTCATTAATGTGTGTTGGTACTTATAAAAAATTTAAGAAACAAAAGTCTTAAATAAACCAGATATAATTCATCTTTGTCTGAAGTCAAACAAAACAACATAAATTTCTAAGCACTAATAAGTCTAAATTATCAACATATGACTGTAAATATTTCTAAAGAAATATATTTAATACCATTTCTAAAAGATTGCATAAATATCAAACATATAGAAAATATCTGTATTTTAACATTTGGGTTTTGCACAAGTAAATAAAGTGGGACATAATAATGCACAGGTTTGTCATTTGTGTGTGTCCACAGTACTGTCTATATATACAAAGTGTAATGTCTGTAGTGTTCATATATAATGTGTACTGTCCTATTTCATTTATGACTGTAATATTAGTAACATAATACTAATGAGTATATTTTTTTGGATCTTATGAATTAATATCTAATTGATAAATAATAAACACCTACATTGGGAATGAAAAATATAATCTATTTACTGAATGCATGCAGGCATGTTAAATATATTCTTTCGCTACAAAGGAATTTTTGGAATAAGTGATTGGTTAATTGAATAGATTTAATTCTCAAAACAGGAAAAAATATGGAGGTTTTATGCAATTTTTAAGAAGAAAATTACTTCTATATGTGGCTAAACAATGAAGGACCTATGTAAATGCATCAGATATTTTGACCACCTTTTTTGTCTATTTAAATATTTCAAATACACATATAAACTACAAAGTCTCTTCATTTCATATAAAAGTCCTTAGAAATACAGTATGCACCCTGTAAATATTTTTGAGGAAAAGCTTGTACAAATAAGCATGAGTATTTCTAAACTGATTATAGACAACTTGATAATTAAGCATGCATCAACTAATTTAAACGATTAAAAACATCCTGCTATATAAGTTTTTCTAATTAGACTTATCTTTGACAGAAAAATATCCTAAAGAAAAGAAATTATGAATGATAACAGTTGAATGAAAGTGTATGAGAACATATAGCCTTCTGTGAATTATATACCTGCAACACAATCTGACAGTAAATATAACCTGTATATATGTACTTAAGTAAAACAAATTGATATAACATTTAACCACAATACAAAATGAACAGAACAATTCCTGTAACAATACCATGTATGATATAATCCTCTGAATATAAAATATCTGAAATAAAATGGGCATGCAGTTATCTCCCTTTAGTTATTATTCTTCTATTTTTTCCTTACTACAGCAAGTAAGCATCAAGGTTTTCCTTATAGCTTTGAATTTCAATCTATCAAGGGTTATCAAAATATTAAACAGTCTTTAAACAAAATTCTGAATTTTTTTATATGCATCTTGGCTAAAATGTAGCAGTCACATCCTTTTTTAATTCACTAAAGTAACAACAATATAGTTAATAAATACATGGCAACTTGAAATCCATTTTTATTCATTTTATAAAGTACAAAGTTGGAAAAAACTTTTGTTTGAAAGGTACTGGCTTTCTTTTTTGATCTCCTGACATTGGCATTCATTATCTTGTTTCTATTGTGAATATTTACAAAAGCATGCAATTGAGTCAGATGAATAATCATTACTGTAATCAGCTCTTTACAAAGTTACATATCACAGCAAATCAAAAGCATTAGTGGTAAAACAAATTATTCAATACTCAAAATTTAATTTGTCCTACAGTGATGAAAATTTGAAATATCTGTTTATAGCAAAAGTATAGATATGTAAACATTGTGATATTTAAATGGACACATGAACCAAACAGCATAGTTCAAGACGATGGAGAGTTTCTCTTTTCATTTGACTTCCCCGTATCTTTTGATCACACCTTAACATGAGAAAAATTCAATAAGCAATCAAACTGTTAAAAATGTGACTTGGCTAACCATCATACAGTCCACAGAACATAGTTGTTAAAACAACAATCTTTAAGTGCTGCAGGTAAAAGTTAACTTACTGATTGCATATTTGGTTACAGGGGATCACTCACTGACCCGGGCAAAATAAATGTAAGAATAGAGGTTTAATTATTGCAATGGTCAGTCAGTCACAGCTTTTTTTGCAATAATTTCTGAATTTACAGTATTTACAGTAAACCATTCATAACTACTAACCTGGACCTTCAACTCCAAGCTCTGTCCATTTGGAATTCATTTCCTTTTGCTCTTTTTCTGGACGCTGAGAAAAAAAGAATAAAATTGTTTTTACATAAATTGCTAATTCTAATTTTAAATAAATATATTTTTGTGGAGAAATAATTCAATTGTCATGTATTCATTTACCACTGGATTAAACCAAATCATATATAATAATAAAAAGATATGGTATGATTGCCAATAAGACAAATATCTACCAGAGTTCAAATAAGGTAGATATATGTTTATCTAATATTAACAAATATTGATTAGTTAATGGTTATTTGAAATTTGGAATTTGGTTGAACAAGCTTTCAGAATCAAACTGTTAGTACTCTAAGATCAGTATGAATGTCTTTTGTTATTTTGTTATTGCTGATCTGATGAGGTTAGCCTTTTACAACTGATTTTTACAATTTTTTTTAAAGTTGTGCTGTTGAGTATAGAACACAAAGAAACACAACTCTGCTTCATTCTTTACTTCACTGTGTCAAGCCAGGAGTCTTCCGTCCAGAGGCTATTTTACATTTAATGTTATAACTTAAAGTCAGGCCATTGTTTTTTTTAAGCATTTTAATCGAAATACATGTTGCTAAACTTTTTTCGCTGTATATTTTCATATTAATGGCAAATCAAAATTTCCAGCTGAAAATAAAAGTAATATAAGTGAATTTTCATTCCTTAATCTGTGATTACACAAAAAGAGCCCTCTGAAAAACACTTTTAACTTACCTTCCTGTTTAGAGGTATATTCAATCCTATACACAACTTACCCTCCCCAGCTAGAGGTTTATTCAATTCTGTACACCACTTACCTTCCCAGCTAGAGGTATATTCAATTCTGTACACCACTAACCTTCCCGGCTAGAGGTATATTCAATTCTGTTCACCACTTACCTTCCCTGCTAGAGGTATATTCAATTCTGTAAAAAACTTACCTTCCGGGCTAGAGGTATATTCAATTCTGTACACCACTTACCTTCCCAGCTAGAGGTATATTCAATTCTGTACACCACTTACCTTCCCGGCTAGAGATATATTCAATTCTGTACACCACTTACCTTCCAGGCTAGAGGTATATTCAATTCTGTAAAAAACTTACCTTTCGGGCTAGAGGTATATTCAATTCTGTAAAAAACTTACCTTCCCACCTAGAGGTATATTCAATTTTGTACACAACTTACCTTCCCACCTTGAGGTATATTCAATTCTGTACACAACTTACCCTCCCCAGCTAGAGGTATATTCAATTCTGTACACCACTTACCTTCCTAGCTAGAGGTATATTCAATTCTGTACACAACTTACCTTCCTAGCTAGAGGTATATTCAATTCTGTACACAACTTACCTTCCTAGCTAGAGGTATATTCAATTCTGTACATAACTTACCTCTTAGTTAGAGGTATATTCGATTCTGTACACAACTTACCTTCCTAGCTAGAGGTATATTCAATTCTGTACACAACTTACCTTTCTAGCTAGAGGTATATTCAATTCTGTACACAACTTACCTTCCTGGCTAGAGGTATATTCTATTCTGTACACAACTTACCTTCCTAGCTAGAGGTATATTCAGTTCTGTACACATGCTGTTTAAACTCTTCAATATTCTTTTCTCCCATGCATGCTAAAATTAATTACAATGTAATTTACATTTGTATAAAATAAAACTGTCTTCAAATAGAAATCAAAGAGCTGATAGCTCTCGGGTGGAAGATTATAATTAAGGATAACTTGAATTACAATGAAAGCAGACCACATCAACTCAGCCTGCTTTGTGCCATTATATTGTTTCTTTGGAAGTATTTTTTTCTTCCAAGAATAATAAACTTATGTCTCCACCAAAACAGATTAAACTGAACATAAAAATCTCCTAATATTGTTGATTCAAATTACATTTTCTATAATTCCATACATTGCATCCCAGCATGTTCAACTGGAGGGAAGCAAATATACCAGGAATTCATTAGGATTCACTTGAAAGTTTTTCTGACAAAGGTGGTTATTCACTTTAGGTATTCCGGCTTCCTTTGTCAATAAAAACTGGCCACCATGATTTATGATTCCTCGGAAACTAAAATTTGAACAACACTAACCCAACAATCAATCACGAACAGTTATAGTTGTTATTCTATATGAAAGTGGTTCAGAATCCTTCATTAACTGATTTTTTATGTTTGTGCTGTTACACAATTGTCCCTGGTCAGGGGTTGGGTTTTGAGCACTTGTTAACATTTTAAACCCAGTCATTTTCTGTATTTGCTTGTCCCAAGTCAGGAACCTGTAAAATTTTATCAAAAAATTTAATTTCCTTGTGTCAGACAATTGGACTGACATTGTAACAACATATGTCAGACATTTCAAAGTTTTATGGTCAAATGATCTGGACTGAGTATGTCCCAGGTTGTACTGTATCATCAGAGCCAAAAAGACAGGACTGATGAAATGCTGCTCCTATAAATGACATTCACATGCTCTGTACTAGAAAGTATAAAAAGAAAAGTCTGCACCCCCATTTCGCCATAAGAATTTAGGAAAAAAATACTTTTAATGGTTGAAAACTTCTAATGAAACTCTGGTAATTTCAAATCTTGTGTGATCCACTCGGTTTTTCATCATCAAACAGAAGTTGAAAATGCTTGTTAAAGATTTTAAAACACAACACGAGTGCTAAAATAAGTCAGAATCACAAAAAAAACAATTGGGAAATTTGTCTTTGACATTAAGTGGATGTATGAATAGCACATGTAAATCAAAAATAAATAAAAGTGTGCGGAAAATCTGTACTTAATAGATATCATATATAATAGAATACGACTGAGAAATTAAAACAATTCCGTCCTTTAGTAAAATACTATTAAATTTATCCATCACATCAACATTTGAAGGATCTTAGCTAAAACAAACCACATGCATCAGGATGAAATACCAAAAAGGAACAAATAATCGATTACGTTTTTATAGTTTATACATCATAATGCAAAAGCTGGTTCCCAGTTCACTTATACACCTTTTTCATTCTGTTTTATTCAAGCGGATCCCAGTTTATGTTATGCAATGCTATGAAAAGAAACGAGAAATTTGTAATGAAGCATTTAATTTTGATATCCTTTATCAATTAATATTGGACTTTGAATTTAAATTGCATATTAATATGGATTAGGTAAATTATTAGTTTTGATAATAATAAGGGTGCCCTTTACAATTTTAATACCAAACATGGCGGAATGTAAACAAACCTCGAGAAATCAAGTTTTTCTTTTATTTCTTGCTTATTGTACTCTATAATCCGCACTCCTGTCTGCAATTTTAATTTTGGAGTAAAAAACTGCTGACGATACAAGCCTGAATTCAGGTAACTGTACATTTGTTTCTCTGTCCTTGTATCATAAAATCATGCAGACGCTAGTTATTCTACCAACTTGTTACCGATCATGTTTACAAATTGGTGTCGAGATGAGGCATGGAAGTTATAAAATTGTAAAGCACAGAAAGGGATGTGGAAACACTCCTGGAAATGTTCTATGTTTAGACTTGACCAGCTGGCAATATTGGATTTCAGAAGACTTGAAAGTCTTCTTCCAACAAAAACTGTGCTTAATTAGTATCATTTATTTCCTCATTGTGCCATTCAAATTTTTATACAGTTTGCTGTCTTTCTGACACATATTTCAATCTTAACGATAGACAAAAAACTTGTCTGACATTTGTATGAACAAATTATAAACCATAAATAGTATCCTGGTTTGTACAATGGATATTTTTTGTATGTTGCTTGTAGTATCTTGCATGTGTAATATACCTTTTCTTATTTTTTAAAAATAAATACATCACCACAGCAATTAGTTTGATGGAAATTGGAAGGTTTCAAAGATGTAATAGTGTTCACAGGAATTTTCTATGCTAAGATATTTTATGCAATTTTTCTGAAATAGGATTCTGAGAAGCTTTATCTGAGCTTTAAGATATTTTACCTGAGCTTTTCTGAGATAAAGAATAGGTTTTTTAGCATGTTCTGGTGGTGTTACTGGGTACTGTAACTTTGGTTTTGTAGATATTTTACCTGAGCTTTTCTGAGATAAAGAAGAGGTTCTTTAGCATGTTCTGGTGGAGTTACTGGGTTCTGTAACTTTGGTTTTGTAGATATTTTACCCGAGCTTTTCTGAGATAAAGAAGAGGTTCTTTAGCATGTTCTGGTGGTGTTACTGGGTACTATAACTTTGGTTTTGTAGATACTTTACCCAAGCTTTTCTGAGATAAAGAAGAGGTTCTTTAGCATGTTCTGGTGGTGTTACTGGGTACTATAACTTTGGTTTTGTAGATACTTTACCCGAGCTTTTCTGAGATAAAGAAGAGGTTTTTTAGCATGTTCTGGTGGTGTTACTGGGTATTGTAACTTTGGTTTTGTAGATATTTTACCTGAGCTTTTCTGAGGTAAAGAAGAGGTTCTTTAGCATGTTCCGGTGGAGTTACTGGGTATTGTAACTTTGGTTTTGTAGACACTTTACCTGAGCTTTTCTGAGATAAAGGAGAGGTTCTTTAGCATGTTCTGGTGGAGTTACTGGGTATTGTAACTTTGGTTTTGTAGATATTTTACCTGAGCTTTTCTGAGATAAAGAAGAGGTTCTTTAGCATGTTCTGGTGGAGTTACTGGGTATTGTAACTTTGGTTTTGTAGATATTTTACCTGAGCTTTTCTGAGATAAAGAAGAGGTTCTTTAGCATGTTCTGGTGGTGCTACTGGGTACTGTAACTTTGGTTTTGTAGATATTTTACCTGAGCTTTTCTGAGATAAAGAAGAGGTTCTTTAGCATGTTCTGGTGGTGTTACTGGGTACTGTATCTTTGGTTTTGTAGATATTTTACCTGAGCTTTTCTCAGGTAAAGAAGAGGTTCTTTAGCATGTTCTGGTGGTGTTACTGGGTACTATAACTTAAGTTTTGTAGATATTTTACCTGAGCTTTTCTGAGATAAAGAAGAGGTTCTTTAGCATGTTCTGGTGGAGTTACTGGGTATTGTAACTTTGGTTTTGTAGATATTTTACCTGAGCTTTTCTGAGATAAAGCAGAGGTTCTTTAGCATGTTCTGGTGGAGTTACTGGGTATTGTAACTTTGGTTTTGTAGATATTTTACCTGAGCTTTTCTGAGATAAAGAAGAGGTTCTTTAGCATTTTCTGGTGGAGTTACTGGGTATAGTGACTTTGGTTTTGTAGATATTTTACCTGAGCTTTTCTGAGGTAAAGAAGAGGTTCTTTAGCATGTTCTGGTGGTGTTACTGGGTATTGTAACTTTGGTTTTGTAGATATTTTACTTGAGCTTTTCTGAGATAAAGAAGAGGTTCTTTAGCATGTTCTGGTGGTGTTACTGGGTATTGTAACTTTGGTTTTGTAGATATTTTACCTGAGCTTTTCTGAGATAAAGAAGAGGTTCTTTAGCATGTTCTGGTGGAGTTACTGGGTACTGTAACTTTGGTTTTGTAGATATTTTACCCGAGCTTTTCTGAGATAAAGAAGAGGTTCTTTAGCATGTTCTGGTGGAGTTACTGGGTACTGTAACTTTGGTTTTGTAGATATTTTACCCGAGCTTTTCTGAGATAAAGAAGAGGTTCTTTAGCATGTTCTGGTGGTGTTACTGGGTACTATAACTTTGGTTTTGTAGATACTTTACCCAAGCTTTTCTGAGATAAAGAAGAGGTTTTTTAGCATGTTCTGGTGGTGTTACTGGGTATTGTAACTTTGGTTTTGTAGATATTTTACCTGAGCTTTTCTGAGGTAAAGAAGAGGTTCTTTAGCATGTTCTGGTGGAGTTACTGGGTATTGTAACTTTGGTTTTGTAGATACTTTACCTGAGCTTTTCTGAGGTAAAGAAGAGGTTCTTTAGCTTGTTCTGGTGGTGTTACTGGGTACTGTAACTTTGGTTTTGTAGATATTTTACCTGAGCTTTTCTGAGGTAAAGAAGAGGTTCTTTAGCATGTTCTGGTGGTGTTACTGGGTATTGTAACTTTGGTTTGGTCTGTAGGTATTTAAATACTGCGTTCTTTAACCTCTTGTCCCATCCTGTAACAAAGTAGCTGATACATTAAGCTGTATCAATGTTAACATTTGTTATATATATACATAAATAAATTATGCCATTTGTAAAAAATCTGTAATATAATTGGCACAGCTGTGACAGAGGCACATGAATTTTGACCTAAATCCAAATCTGCTGTTTAAGATATATAGCTTTCAGTTTCAGTCATGACTGGCAAATATGACCAATCATGACCCTTGCACATATACCTGTATCCCCACCAACAAATAATTGAGAACAGACATCATATGCAAATGCAATAGATGTTCTTGTATAAACAAATTAGTGTGTTAAAATTTAAATGGATTTGTGAAACTATACTCTGGTGATTACTAGATAAATACCAGATATACTCAACACAAGGGGGTTTAATTAAAAATCATTCATGGGTGATGAATTTTCATGAAATATTCCTCTGTATACACAGATGTCATAGATACCTGCCCCGCATGGTAACATATATACCATGGTTGCAAAACAGAGATTTTTCAACTTCAATCACCAATTACCCTGTTTTATACACAAAAAGATTGACCCCCAGGAAGAAATCAAAGCACGAAAGGGCTGTAAAGGCAGTTAATTACAGGTTGTGTGTATTTTAAGTCCAGTTATATCATTATCTTGCATAGTACAGTGTACTTATCAGAGGTGGTTTTCAGTATTTAAGATTTAGAGTTCTCTAATGATATTGAATAAGTTTTATGAATGTCATATTCTGAGCACTATATGAAGGCGATTGTTCTCACTTGTTTATGAACTAGTGCATTATGTCCAGTTTGTACCTTTTTTATCTATGTTTATAGTCAAATTAGTTATCAAAGGTACCAGGATTATAATTTAATACGCCAGACGTGTGTTTCGTCTTCATAAGACTCATCAGTGACGTTCAGATCAAAATAGTAACAAAGCCAAACAAGTACAAAGTTGAAGAGCATTGAGGACCCAAAATTCCAAAAAGTTGTGCCAAATACGGCTAAGGAAATCTATTCCTTGGATAAGAAAATCCTTAGTTTTTTCATTGGCAATCATAACACATCTCCTTATTTATATAATGATCTATATTCAACGACCTCAGGTACAAAAAAAATGTATGTAACTAAACTATGATGGGAAACCTTTGACTTCTTTCTTTATATAAACTTTTGATTTGGTACCATAGAACTATGTAGAGTAAATGTACATTGCAACATGTCAACTCTTTCAACTCCAAGCAAAATTATATTTCCAAGCATAAAGTAATTTATGAATGAAATAAAATGCTCCGCTGGGGCGCAGCTTGATACGACCGCAGAGGTCGAACCCTGAACAGTTGGGGCAAGTATGAACACAACATTCAAGCTTGATTCAGCACTGAATTTGGATTGTAATTAAATATTTGACACAGCATAGGTTTCTGACACAGAATGAAAGTGGTCTAAGATACTTAAAAAAAATTAATTTACCTATTCAAACCATATCATTATTATTTGCTTTTATATATAAATCAGAAATAACCAATTTAAAATGGAAAATTTTAAAGAAAAAAAAGGAAAAAGAATCCCCCCCCCAAATTTTTTGAACCCCCTTATGATTCATCACCCCAAAACTCAATCCCAGCCTTCCCTTTGTGGTATGGTACCTTGCAGTACAATTTCAGAGAGATCCATACACTTGAACACATGTTATTGTCTGGAAACTAGAAAAATGCTTGTTTTTTGGCCCCTTTTTGGTCCAAAATTCCTAAACGTTTAGGGCAATTACCCCCAAACTCAAACCCAGCTTTCCCTTTGTGATATGGAACCTTGTAGTACAATTTCATAAAGATCCATACACTTACACACAAGTTATTGCCATGAAACTAGACAAATGCTTGTTTTTTGCCCCTTTTTGGCCCCTTATTCCTAAAATTTGGAGGCAAATACCCCCCAAATCAATCCCAGCATTCCCTTTGTGATATGGAACCATGTGATACAATGTCAGAGAGATCCATAGACTTACACACAAGTTATTGTCATGAAACTAGAAAAATGCTTGTTTTTTTCCCCTAATTCCTAAAATTTGGAGGCAATTACCCCCAAAATCAATCCCAGCATTCCCTTTGTGGTATGGTACCTTGCAGTACAATTTCAGAGAGATCCATACACTTGAACACAAGTTATTGTCTGGAAACTAGAAAAATGCTTATTTTTGGCCCCTTATTCCTAAACTTTTTGGGCAATTACCCCCAAACTCTATTCCAGCTTTCCCTTTGTGATATGGAACCTTGTAGTACAATTTCATAAAGATCCATACACTTACACACAAGTAAACTATAATATGTCAAATATTTAATTACAATCCAAATTCAGACCTGTATCAAGCTTGAATATTGTGTCCATTTTTGCCCCAGCTGTTCATGGAACCTTGTGATACAATGTCAGAGAGATCCATAGACTTGCACACAAGTTATTGTCATGAAACTAGGAAAATGCTTGTTTTTTACCCCTTTTTGGCCCCTAATTCCTAAAATTTGGAGGCAATTACCCCCAAAATCCCAGCATTCCCTTTGTGATATGGAACCTTGTGAGATCCATACACTTACACACAAGTTATGTCTGGAAGTTACAAAAATGCTTATTTTTGGCCCCTAATTCCTTAACTGTTGGTACCATAACCCCCAAAATCAATCCCCACTTTCCTTTTGTGGTATTGAACCTTATTTTAAAATTTCATTGAGATCCATTCACTTAAACTAAAGTTAGAGTGCGAAAACTAATGTGTCTTCGGATCACGACACCGACGACGACGCCAACGTCATACCAATATACGACCACAAAATTTTTTTGCAGTCGTATAAAAAGGAGTTCTTAATTAAGAAATAAACTGATTCGCTGAGTGCAGCTGGATACACCCGCAGAGGTACTACCCTGAACAGCTGGGGCAAAAATGGACACAATATTCAAGCTTGATACAGGTCTGAATTTGGATTGTAATTAAATATTTGACATATTATAGTTTCTGAATAAATGTAGTCAATGAACTTGAAATCGGTTATATGAATTGAATTTATATTCAATTAAAGATTTCTTGCTGTTGTGCAATACTTAATAAATCTGTTGCCAGACTATAAACAAATAAAGTTCAATTTCTTCTCAATGTCATATTTGAAATTTATGAAAATCAATAGGGAGATTACATCAATAGCTATAAAAATAATTCACCAAAGTTTCATGTGAACTGCTTAAAGCATTTTTGAGTTGTTGTCCAAAAACTGGAAAATCCCCCCATTTTTAATGAATAAAACCCCATAACTCAGAAATGTAAAATCTAAAATTTATAAAATTCTAAAGGGAGCTTACGGATTGATAATTTAGTCTTAGATGCAAGATTTTTTTATCAGTTGTTAGTGGCTTTGAACTAGCTGTCAGTAACTGCGAATACTGTCAGATTTGTACTTAGTGTCTTTTTGTTGTTTGGATGTACAACTACCTGACCACGTCCACTTGTATTTGTATTTATCCATCTGATGAGTTTAGCCTCTTTCAACTGATTTTTATAGTTCTTTCTTATATTGTACTGTTACACCACTGTCCCAGGTTAGGGGGAGGGTTGGGATCCCGCTAACATGTTTAAGCCAGCCACATTCTGTATGTACATGTATGTGCCTGTCCCAAGTCAGGAGCCTATAAAAGTGTAATTCAGTGGTTGTCGTTTGTTTATGTGTTGCATATTTGTTATATTTGTTCATTTTTTTACATAAAATAGGCCGTTAGTTTTCTTGTTTGAATTGTTTTACATTGTCATTTCTGGGCCTGTTATAGCTGACTGTGCGGTATGGGCTTTGCTCATTGTTGAAGGCCGTACTGTGACCTATAGCTGTTAATTTCTGTGTCATTTGGTCTCTTGTGCATGTGTGGAGAGTTGTCTCATTGGCAATCATACCACATCTTCTTTTTTATATTTACATCAACAGATATAAAAAATTCACCAAAGTCAAGGTGAGACAACAAAACTTAGTTGTAAGATCTCTGAAATTTTTTACAGGGTACGAGTTTTTCTCATTGTTGGAGATTGTACGGTGACAGTAACACCTGTTACTGCTTAAACCCATTTCTTACGCACTTTAGTTTGATAAACTCACTGAATATCATACCACATCTCCTTATTTTTATATGCATTACAATTTATATGTGCATGTAATTGTAAATATATATATATCAGAACAAAATTCATTGCGTCACTTTTATTTATGCATCCTTTGGCACAATACAAGTTCTAAAATTACACAACATACAACAACTAAATGTTATTTCAGATGAAAGTTTTGTTTCAGTTTCATTCATAGGATTTATTAGAATTTTGTATGTTTTGCCAAGTCCAATAATTCGCTCTATGTGACATAGAGACATAGTTGACTAAACCACCAGGTGTCGAACATTCAAGAATTTTCAGTGTTTCTGTTTTTATTTGATGAAAAGGTTGCCTGAGCTCTAGGAGCTTTAGGTTTTATCACGGGATATTCTGTGCTGTCAATAATAATCCAAGTCGTAGGAAACTTTAATTTGAAGTTGGATGGTGAAAAATACCTGACTAAACCACTAGATGGCCAAGTGTTAGCCTCACACCACTGTTTAGACATAAAAATAATCCATGTATACACAATATTCTTAACACTAGATTCAATCTAAAATCTAGACAGTTCAAAGTTGGTTGTATGATGCCTCAATTTCATCAAAGTCATAAAAAAACTGATTTTCAACTGACACCCTATCAATTTGAAAATATATGTATCTCAAACAATGTGCTGCTGGACCAAGTGTGGTCAAAACAAATAAAAATTTAGTATACAACTCTAAACCGGTATAAAAATGCATGGCTGTGTCACGTGTCTTCATTTCAAAATTCTCTGCTGAAAACATAGGCATTGATGGTGTTTCCGTAATTCCATCTGTGAAGCTCAACATTAGCTCGGCAGTTGGTGGTGGACAGTCATAAATCCTTTCTGCAGTATGAATGACTTCTTCAGGAAAACCAACTTTACAATCAAAACTTTCCTCTAGATTTCTACTACAATATTCATCAAGTTTAGTTCTTTTGTTTTCACAGGAAACTGCCCTGATTTTTCTTTTTGCGGACGATTCAGTCTCTTGCTTGGTCCAGGAAAATAGGCTGGGAATTGCAGTAGACTTAAGTCTCTGTATGGTGGGTTTGCGCCCTGAAAAAGGTTATAAAACATTAGATTTTTTTATAATTAAATGAACTTCCATTAGCAATGTATACTTTGTACTACCTGGCGAAATATTAACTAGATTTATTCATTACATCTGGATAAAACTATGTTTGCCTGATTCAATGTATGTTATGTAAATCCAAAGGACAAACAATGAGAGACTTATGCAACAAACGTACATTGTTTGTACCTAAATAACTATAATATAGATGAGAGCATGTCATTGTTTTGTTCCTGTTAACATTGTCATTTATATTTTTCAAGAAAGTCTATGAGGCATAGCTTATGCATTCCTGTCATTACTTCATTAGCATAATTACTGCTAAAATAATTCTCAGTATGATATACCTCTTGTAAGAAATCATTATAATTGTAGCAATCACCAAAAAATCTCAAACAGATCACATTGAATCGTAATCCAAAAAATTATGACGTCTTGAATTACCCACCCCATTTTATTCTAAAACGATAATTGCGGTTGTAAACAGACTTTGGTTTATTCGCATGGAGATTACATATATAACTATATATTTCACAAAGAAAATAGAGTTTTACCATTAATAGTTTCCTGCACGTAGTCTTTTTCAGTAAAACGTGCCTTGCAAACAACAGCTGATTGAGATGGACTCCACGATATCATCGTGTTCTCGTCCAATCTGCGAATGGGCCATGGCGTTGATCCAACTTTTCCTTCTATTTAAGTCATTTGGAAATGCATGTCCTCCTCTTAAATGACATCCAGGTACACAACAACAAGTACTTGGCATCGTTAATTAAAAATATAACTGAAATAGTTGCACAGAAACCGGAAGAAGAGGAACAGGATCCGCTACCACGGCGCCACCTATTCAGGAACGATAATTTGCTACTTTATATAACTGCGAAAATAACGTTAGACGGGTTCACGTGCATAAACAGAAATGCGCTTTAAATTGTATAATATAATTCATGTTCAGTCGACCTTTAATTATTATATCAACGACTGAAATGATTTATAAACATCTAGATTGCAGATAACACTCGAAATTAACCCGAGCTCTTTCCACACGGAATTCAAATTCTCAGATCCGGACATCCTGGCATTTAAATTTTTCAAGGGGTGATGCCAATAGGAATCCTCTAGATTTTTCTTCTATTTGAAGGTGATTACTGATTATTTATATTGCCGATTATTTTTTAACCAGAGGATATAGTATGATAAAAATAAAAATGGAGATATTATATAGTGTCTTTAACAATATTAAAAGAGTAAAATTACTATATTCAACTGGTGTCGATATTATCAATTAAATTAATTTGCATTGAAGTATATGGAAAATCTAGAGGATTCTTATTGGCATCACCTCTCAACATTGTTTACATAACACAAATGCTAATCATTGATTGGTCAGTTACATGTTGTGATGTCACTGCAGATCTGAGAATAATTCTAGTTTGTCAATCGGTTGACTGCTTATAATGCAAAATACTAATATATCAAAAGTTTTTAAAACTAACAAAACACAATGATCGTTTCTCTATTTCCCAATGTAAATGAAATGAAACAAAAAACATTTTATATCGCAATAAGAAGAGGAGAGAATTCAACATTTCCGGATCTACTTGGAGTCTAATGACCCCCCACGTAGATAAGTTGGATATCGCGGAAGGAAGGATTAACCCGGCAACTAGAAAGGCATTAAAGCACTGCCTTTAAAAATGAGGCTAAAGATACCAAGTGGACATTAAATATACAGAAATTGAACAAAAACTGAAAACGCCATTTTGTTAGCTAATATTCACCCAGTGTATATCATGTATATACATGATATAGTGTAATACATGTAGATTTTGTTTTTTTCTAGTTCTTCATGAAGTACTAGTCATATCTTCTGTTCAAGAGAAAAACAACATTCCTTACATATCTCACATATCTAGAGCTTAAAGTCTTCCTGAAATTATAATTACATAACATTCTGTACCCTATCAGTAATGTTAAACATGCAGTTTTCAGATGTATGAAACATATAAAGGTTTTAAGCAGAAAATAAAAATATAACAAATTTTAAGAAAATTCATTGCATGATGATACAAACTGTTTACCTGAGTGAATTAAGCCTGCTTGTACACCTTTCTTTAATTCTGATAGTCTCACACCTGGTTTGGTGATTTCAATCTGAAATTAGCACATGTACAGAATATTATTCAAAATTGTTTTTATTGCTCAAATATCAAACGTACATTTAAACAAAGGGATTTGACAAAAGATAACACCTATACAAATCCTTCCCCATACAAGATGGATTGAATAATCTGATAGTATATAATATATTTCTGATAATTCATAGATCATTCATTGTTGCAGTGAGTCAGGAGAGGCAATCCCCCCAATTCTTGAATATTATAATAACATAACATTAGTTTTTAGGGAAACAGGGGTTGTAAATTGGGGGTATTTGCACAGACAAAAAGAAATAAAAGATACATGTAGTTTATATATACAAAAGTGCTTTTTTTTATGAATTTACAAGAAACAGATTAATAATCATTTAAACATGTGAAATAAAAATATAATTTAACACACAAAATGAAAAATAACTCTTTCTTACCCACTTTCATCAGCCTTTTGATGATCATGCTCAGGTTTGATAATGCATGCCAATTACTTTGGAATTTTGAGGTGTTATCATGATAATTTGTTCATAAATCAGTTCAATCTATCTTTCACACTTATTTTGTTACTTCAACAATTATAACATGGTATACAGTTTTCTTTTAACATGCCATTTCTTTTCTGATTTTATTAACACAATTAAATGATTAAGAATGATAAACAAATATTTCAAGTGACACTGTGTGGAAACCAAAATTACACAGGAGAACTCAAACTTGCCTAAATAATGTCACCTGTAGTCAGCTGTTAAATTCATTTCATACAATTTTTACATCTCCCTAAATAAAATTCAAATTGAACTGCCTACAATGTAGTTACCAGACAATTGATACCATTGTATGGTTTTAATATTAGAGCCAAGCTAGCACTTGTATATTAAGGTACATTATTGTATATATATCCAACTGAAATAAATTATACTATCAAGCGGAATTTTATTGTCACTCCCATGTCATCTTTTTTTTATGCACTTCAGGCGACTCTATCGAAAGTAAACACAACAGGGTTGGTTCACCACATGGAGTTATAATTGTTATATTTTATGTGAACCCCTGCATCAGAAAGAAACAGCTATGCTAACAGGGCTAACCTACAGGTCACCAGTGAACATACTGACTATGAAATATTCCAAACGTGCAACTGATCAACAAAAAAGAAACCAACAGCACCAAGATTTCTGATACCAACCTATTTCTATAAATGAGAGACAGAAACAACCGAATACCATGCAGGAGCCGTATATAATTGAATTATAAATTTACATCTATGCCAATAAACAGATTAACTATGCTGGAAGATCAACAAATTTATAAAAGGCCTATACCAAATAATTTTACATCTGAACTATTTCTGACAACACTATTTATTATTAGCAGAGAATCAGATAAAAAAAATTCCCATATTGTTACATGCTGAAAAAAAATAGGGTAGGTAGGTAGGGAATTATTTTTACTTTTAATATTATTTTTACATTGAGTCTATGGGAGCAACATTGTGACTTTAACAGTGCTTAATCAAAAATGGTAAAAAAAAACTTTAGGGTAGGGAATAAAAATTAGGGTAGGTAGGGGTACAGTAAACACACATACTTTTTTGTTTGGCCTTAGGGATGCGCCAGACAGTAGAACCCTCTAACACTGGATCAGAAGGGAAGCCTTGCAAAGCGGTGGGGACTATAAGAAGTTCGTCTATTATATAACATAACAAGCCTTTTAGAACAATGTCATGCATCGTATAAAACAAAATCAAACTCAAACTGACTTTTTACAAACTTTATTTTTCTATATCTATCTGATCTATTTATAACTCTCTACTTTCACTTTTCATTATTTCTCTCACCCAGAGCAAGTTTTGTACACATTGTGAGGCCAAAATTTTATGTACCAAGCTTTATACTTCAGTACTTTCTGTATGTAAAACTGTCTTGATGATGCCTGCCTGGCAGGCAAAACCAGTTACTTGTCACCAAGTTTGATAAAATTGCAGACTCTTTGGAGTGTTGTTGTCATAAATAGGTACATTTTGTATTTTAAGTTTTGCAATACATTTGTAGTTTGCATTAATTGACAACCAAGTATAACAAGGTATCCACTTCAGGAGACTCATTATAAATTTGATCTTCTTTCATATACAAAAAAAATGAATTTAGTAATTTGTGCACCCGTTCATTTATGTTTTGCTGTATCACTAAATGTCAGAAATAACGGAGGTGTGACATTTATGATACAAATGTACAAAATGTAGCATGTGACCTGTCTCTAATCATATTTTATTAATTATCAGGATGGTGTTTGATGCATCAGACATTTTCTCTTGCATACCTGCCAACCTCTGAAACCTTCAAAGAGGGAGATCTCCCTCTCAGCTATGACAGCTGAGAGGGAGGTTTTGCATGAACGACATTTTCAAACTAAATATATGACCTGTACACTTATTCATCTATAAAACACCAATAAGAGTTAACAAATATACTTTATTTCTTCAATTCATTTTTGTAATCTATACAAAGTTTTGTTTTTTTTTCCTTATTCAATACCTCCGAGTCTCATAACTCATAAAATTCAATATTTTAATTCTGTTGAGAGTCTCACACTGACATGCATTTGAACGTCGTACAGACCACCAGAAGCAACCGAAAAGTTGATTGAACATAATGTGCACAGTAAAGATACATTGTGCCAAGTGAACTTGGTCGTAAAAATTGAAATTTTTCATCTCTTCTTCTTTACACTGTCGCTTGGTCCAGACAAAGACCTCTATCCAGTTGGAGATGACATAGCAGAAATGATTTTCGATTGCTAATAAATCGAACATAAAAACTACTGACCAAAGTTTTCAAATGATTGCTGATTGTTTGTTTCTTTTTATTGACAGTAAAGAAAAATCCTGAGAAATACGAAGGACTTAGGTGGGTCATTCCGGGTTAAAATATCCAAAAGCGGGAGATTCTATACTCTTGCACGGGTGATTTCTGGAATTTCGTTGTTTGCGCGGGAGACTCCCGCTCAAAATGGGAGGGTTGGCAGATATGCTCGTGTAACTACTTGTCAAAGGTTAGCAGGAATGGCTGTGATGTCCAATTATAGATACAAATCAAAAAGGTCTATACAAGTTGCTGTCCTTTTTTGACACATTATCTCATGGTGATGCTCCTCGTGAAAGGAGGCTTCACACTCAGGCTTTTTTTCTGCTTCTGCCAGATAATGACCACAATCAACTGTTTTACAGACCATACATACATACCTGGGCAGCATTTTGCAGGTCTGTATAAATTTTAGATGATTTTAAGTCTTCAATCAGAGTTTGCATGAAAATCTTTGATAGATTTGGATCTGTCATATTTAATTTCAACTAAATTCTTTGAAAATATAAAGAGTCCATAGCAACACTCGCTGACACACTGATATTTAGGGTGTAAGCAAACACGTCACATGTATAATTCACTACTGTTTAACATTTCTTGTTTCACTATGTACAAAGCTTAGGGTATGCCACTGAATTGCAGAAAAAATACAGCCTTTATCCTATTTTGGTTCAATGAGTATTTACACAAGCATTGCAATGATCATTCGAGTCTTGAAAATGTTTATAATATAAAGTTAAATCGATAACCGACGAATGGTGTAACAAAATCCGGATCTAAGACTCAAAAAGGGTACTTTTTTTAATTATTTCACTACTTCTCTATATTCGAGAAAAGTAAGTTATTTAAGTCCAGTAAAGATGGTACATGTACACTATGATTTACTGGGCTGTTGACTTGACCCTCGGATTATTCATTTTACAGTTATAAAGCATAGATATCAGGAGTTTCTCCACTAATCATTAATGTAATCTGATTATCACTGGCCCTGATAATTTGCCAGCATATTTTCTTACATAATTTTTAGAAGAATTGTCTCCATTTTGACACACTTTTTCCGAAAATCTATTGATTCTGGTAAAATCCCAACAGATTGAAAGCAGGCTAATGTTGTACCTATATTTAATAAACTGGCAGCTGCGCCATGAGCGCATGATACCGGCCCGTCGCTTTTTTAAAGAATAAAGTCCAATAACTTCTCAATGTCATTTCAGAAATTTATGAAAAACTAAAGAGAGGTTAACTTAATACATATAACCAGTCACCAAAGTTTCATGAAAACTGCTCAAAGCACTTTAAAGATATTGTCCGAAAACTGGAAAATCACCCTTTTTTTTATAAATTCCATAACTCGGAAACGTAAAATCTAAAATTTATAAAAATCGAAAGGGAGCTTACGTCAATAGATATAAACAATTCACCAAAACTTTCATGAAAACTGCTGAAAGCATTTTTGAGTTATTGTCCGAAAACTGGAAAAAAAACCTTTTTTGAATGAATAAAACCCCATAACTCGGAAACGTAAAATCAAAAATTTATAAAAATCGAAAGGGAGCTCATGTCAGTAGATATAAACAATTCACCAAAGTTTCTTGCAAATTAGTGAAAGTATTTATGAGTTATTATCCGAAAACTGGAAAATCCCCCTTTTTTAATGAATAAAACCCCATAACTCGGAAACTTAGAATCTACAATTTATAAAAAAACGAAAAGGAGCTCACGTCAATAGATATAAACAATTCATCAAAGTTTCATGCAGATTAGTTAAAGCGTTTCTGAGTTATTGTCCGACATTTTGACGACAGACGGACAGACGGACAGACGGATAACGGTATACCATAATACGTCCCGTTAACGGGAGTATAAAAAAGGTGACAAGCATAACGGATCACAACGCTATAATATACACAGACCTATAAACAATAGACCAGTTTCATTAACTTCAATATATTGTAAAATTGTGGAACATATTTTAACAAGTAACATCCGAAAACATCGTACAAATAAAAACATATTAAACATGATGACAGTCAACATGGGTTTATGAGTAAATCAAAGGTCTTGCGAAACCCAACTCATTATCTGAGTATCCAAGATCTACCAAAATCAATGGGAAATGGCAATAAATAGATGATATACTTTTATATTTTTCTTAAGCGTTTGATAAAGTCCCCCTCAAAGATTAGCTCAAAAATTAAGTTTTTACGGTATTAGGAACCAAAAATTAAATTTGATATCGGATCTTTTAACCGACAGGCAACAGCAGATGTACTTTTAAATCTTCTAATTAGCTGTTGACTCTGGTGTTTCCCAGGGAACAGTTTTAGGCCCCACATTTTCCTTCTCTTTATTAATGATTTACAAGACATGTTACTTGCAATGCAAGACTTTTCGCAGATGACTGCGAAAACAATAATTATGATGCACAATTACTGCAAAATGATTTATCTAGTTGAGTGCAATGGGAAAGGGACTGGCAGATGAATTTCAATCCTGAAAAATGTTATGTCATACATATTCAACAAAATTAACCCTTCTTCTTTTAATTATACATTGCATAATCGTGTATAATAATATGTTAAAGATAGCCATGATCTCGACTGTGGAACATATATAAATAATATTACTTGTAAGGCAAATAAAACTTTAGGCTTTCTTTGTAGAAATCTGAAATACTGCACACGTAAGGTTAAAAACTTTACGTACTCATCGCTTTTCCGTCCAGTCGTCGAATAATCTCCCCCTGTTCAGTGGGATCATTACAAAAAGCATCACATCACTCAGGTCGAGCAGAATCAGCGTAAGCAGCCATATATATAATGCTATGTTTTCTTTAGCACATTACTAATAAATCGAAAAGTATCCTCTGTAGACCTTATATGACGGACAATACAATTATTCTATATGTACATCCATCCATCCATCCATCCATCCATCCATCCATCCATCCATCACATTTCATCCATCCATCCATCCCATCCTCCATCCACCCCATTCCATTCCACCCCATCCATCCATCCATCAATCAGATCCACCCATCCATACATCATGTAATCTGGCAAACGGACTGCTGATAATAAACTGTTCAATGATTTGCCTATTTACACAAATTCGAGAATCAACCAAAAGTAATAACATAAGGACTGAATTCAGTATACAATTTGAAAGGATAGTACAAGAAATGAATCATGTAGCAATTGTTAAATGTGCAAAAGAAAATTTATTTTCAAATGATAGTACAGAGACAATCAGCAGTGGGCTGTCCTGTAAAGATATCACTGAGTGAGACTGGATTAGAAAAGAATGATTGTCTATTTGTATCGTTTGATGTGTATATATATGTCTTTAAGCGAGTTAATGGCATTTCCTGGTTCTTGGATCTTTGGGTAATAAGACGCGTATCATAGTACATATAGTTTACGGTATAAAGATGGCGTAAGGCATTTAAGTGTGTTCAGCATGTCATAACTAAGATACATACTTATTACAGACATACCGACCAGCTCACTTTAAAATTTTAGTTTTTGATATAGATCATGGAGTGTGCTGGTCCTAGATAAGAATAAGACTCTTACCTGGGCGGACAAGCGCTCGGTGTGCCTGACTCTTGATATTCTGGTTGGGTGTCTTTAGATTTCGATTTAGAAAATCAAGACTTTTGCTACTTTTATTAGTTAAATCATCTATTTGTTTCAACTTTGTACTCTTTTAGAATTGACTAAAAGTGTAAAATTAATTTGTATTAAGGAGATGATACAATTATAATCTATTAATTTGTAGGATATATATGATAAGATGTGGTATGATTGCCAATGAGACAACTCTCCACTAGAGACCAAATGACACAGAACTCAAAAACTATAGGTCACCGTACGGCCTTCAACAATGTGCAAAGCCAATACCGCATAGTCCGCTATAAAAGGCCCCAAAATGGCAGCTGTTAACCAATTCAAACGAGAAAACTAACGGCTTAATCCATGTACAAAATAATGAACGAAAAAGAAATATGTTACACAGCAACAAACGACAACCACTGAATTACAGGCTCCTGATTTTATGTATGTTTTATTGGTTGTTGTTGTTGTTTTTTTGTTTTTTATTTTGTTTTTTGTCTTTTCATTTTTCCCTTGTTAGTCTTTTTTTTGGTTCTGACTTGCCGATTTATAAAGTTGTTGTCTGCAAATTGCTTGCATTTGCTATGTACTAAGTAGTCTGGTAATTTATGTATATAAAACACTATGGCAGTACTAATGGCCACACCAGATATGACCGGGACAACAGTTTGTGTGCTGTTTTATAGAAAGCTTTCTATACAATTTTTGTCATGCATCGACAATTGTCATACCATTTGATTGTATAAAAGTTAACGATGTGGTATCAAAAACTTACGGAAAGTTCAGTCTTAGTGATATCATTTCGGCCGTATTTGTTGCTTATGTAGCTGGTTGTTCCTGGGTGAAAGAAAGTAGTTGTATCTTTCACGATCGTGATTGTCGAAATGCTGATGGTTGGAGACCGTTCAGGATGATACAACTCTCAAATTGATTCATATCAGTGTTAGATTAACTCACCAGCGATGGACTGTTTCTCATTGACAATTACGAAAGAGGCAAACAATAACAAAAGGACATTCTAAACTCATAAGTTTAAGAAACACAGACAACGCAATAAGAAAAGGACATTCTAAACTCATAAGTTTAAGAAACACAGACAACGCAATAACAAAACGACATTCTAAACTCATAAGTTTAAGAAACACAGACAACGCAATAACAAAAGGACATTCTAAACTCATAAGTTTAAGAAACACAGACAACGCAATAACAAAAGGACATTCTAAACTCGTAAGTTTAAGAAACACAGACAACGCAATAACAAAAGGACATTCTAAACTCGTAAGTTTAAGAAACACAGACAACGCAATAACAAAAGGACATTCTAAACTCATAAGTTTAAGAAACACAGACAACGCAATAACAAAAGGACATTCTAAACTCATAAGTTTAAGAAACACAGACAACGCAATAACAAAAGGACATAACGCAATAACAAAAGGACATTCTAAACTCATAAGTTTAAGAAACACAGACAACGCAATAACAAAAGGACATTCTAAACTCATAAGTTTAAGAAACACAGACAACGCAATAACAAAAGGACATTCTAAACTCATAAGTTTAAGAAACACAGACAACGCAATAACAAAAGGACATTCTAAACTCGTAAGTTTAAGAAACACAGACAACGCAATAGCAAAAAACAGTTAAACGACGAAAAGACAAACAAGTCCACAAAACATTGCGAAGACAACTTAAAGGACTGAGCAACACGAAACCACAAAAAAACTGGGGGTTATCCCATCGGCAAAGATAAATAGATCCTGCGCTACAATGTTGCTCATGGAAAGTTCACAATAGGTTATATACTTCATTCGGTGATGTCACAATCGAGAAAAAGACAAACGCGGTCTTCGTTACGATAACTTGAACATATCCGTGGTGGTGATCTGAGATCACAGATATTCTTTAAAGGATAACCAACCCGTGAAAGCGTCTGAAAATGATGACATCCACTTTACCACTTGTTAACCTTCACCCAATAGCTTCATTGTAAACAGAAACCCTTTATCAAGAAAATAATAAAGATTGGGGACGTTAAATCCTAAACCTCGTGTAGAGAGAGTGCCAAGCTATGTGCACGTTAAG